TACAATTTTAATATAGAGTTTCCAGATACTACGTGAAAAACTACCTTGATTTTAGGTACAGAATTTCGCGAGAACTGTCGCAACTACAGACTACCATTTTATTTGAGTGCTATGTCCTCGTGCGCTATCACACATGTCACAAACATTTTTCAACTCAATTGTAAAAGCGAGTAATGTTAAAAAATTCACTCAATATACGGAATTGCGCGCGACACAATTTTCGGAAAAAAAAACGTGCGATAGACACTATCATTCATTGAACGATCCAATATTTCAAGGTCGAGAGGTCAATTCTTTCAAAATCACGATTCAATCTATAACAATCGCGTCATATTTCTGGGCCAACTATCGATAAATCACCGTAGCACATGCATCTGAAATGTCATCTCCTTGATCGCGCGATTGAATTGGCGAGTCGTTTGTCCGATAGACTCCATGACAAGGAATCCGATGGAAGCGCATGAATTTAATTGACGCGATCGTGTAACGGTGCACTGTTAACAATTATTAATCGGATTATTAGAAGCACGACGATTTGTGCTATGGCGACGGCGAGTTTTTTAATCACGCATTGTATTTTCTTATCACCACGTGATACATTCACAATAACAGATGGACAGTCACTGCAGAAATATGCGTACTCGAGAAAATCATATGGTCCGCGCGATGGAGACGATCGTTTGGAACGCGAGGAAGCCGAAGCACCGGTGAACGCGCGACTGGCCCGAAGGACCCGTAAGAGGTCCCTTTACTGTACCGGGGCCCGATGATACGGCGAACGCACGGCGCGGTCGCTAATGGCCAATGGCGCACGGATAAGAGGAAAGGATGTACAAGATCCTAGGAAGGATCCCCGCGATGTGAAAAAAGAGAAACTGGCCAACTCGTTGTGACGAGTGAGTACGAAGTCAAGGGATGAGAATAAAGAATATGGAAAAGAAAGAGAGAAAAAGAGAAAGAAAGAGAGAGAGAGAGAAAGAGAGAAAGGAAAAGAGGGGGTGGAGGCGAGTTTGGCAGAGGCCGGTCGAGCACCTGGGCGACATTACCTCCTCACATCTTCCGACTGCTCCAGGCATCTTCGTACTCCGATTCGCACTCTCCCTCTCTCTTTCTTTCTCATTCTCATTTTATCAAATGTTTTATTGTGCATGCATCGAATATAATTATATGATATTGATAACGAAAGATTTTTAATTGCGATTTTTTCTCCTCTATTAAGTTGTAATTATTTCATTCACTCAATTTGGTCAATTAATGTTGCTATGAATGAAGCTATTCTTTGCTCTCAAATCGCGTTTATTGAAATCTAAAGTATTTATAATATATTATTCTTCAAAATTTTCATTAATGAATTGAATTGTTATTTTTTTATAATTACTCCATTATTGCGCAAACGAAACCTATAATTTGAAATCGTTATCGAAACACGTTTCCAATAAAAATGGAAAAGACACAGAAGCCTGTTATTTAAATGTATTTCTCAAATAGCATACCTTTCTTAAACTTTCAAACGGATTAACATTGAAAAACAGGCTGAAAAGCTTTGTGTTTGATTTAAATAAAAATTTTATTAGGTCTTTATTAATGGATTTTTTTTAAATATTTGATGATTATGATTGATCTCTACTTGCATTAGCGGATCGCACGTTATATTTATTTCAATTTTAATACAATATCCTGCCACAGGACGTACCTTCCGTCACACACAAACGTATTCATATATATATTAATCGTTACAGAATAAATTAAAAACTCTGTTTTGTATTATTTCGTAAATTTTTATATTTTATTTCGGCATGTTTATTCACTATAACTGCCATACTAGTTTAATATAGATTTTAAAACTAGCAAAAATAGAGTTATACCTAATAATATTCTTATTCAATTGTTGCCATTTAAAAAACAGATAACATGCACAACTAATAAATGCAATTCGAATAAATTTCGTACCAATCATAAATATTATTTGTATGCCATAATAAATTATGACCTGCCATTATGATAAATTATATATATTTTTGCGTGAGAAGTGTAACATAAAAAGTATATTCTGATGCGCGTTTTGTTTTTAAATGCGCAGTCATTTAATCTTTTTAAATTATTTATGATTATAAATATTTCTGTAAAATGGAGCAATTTTCAAAAACTTCACGCTACGAAATTAAACCATTAGAATGAATTCTTTAAAGTTCATGATAGAAATACATACTTGCCGCCTGTTATGTATATTTATAGAATTTAATACAGCTCTACTAAATTACTCTTGACTCTAAGCGATAGATTTTATCTCTCCTAGCCTTATAGCAACTATTAAAGGAAAGGATTAAAGAAAACGAGATATATATCGGAAAGAGGTGATTGTACGTGTCCTGTCTTAGAACCACGGGTAACGAATCCGTACCTGGCGCCATGGTGTGTGCCATGGGACGTGTGTGGTTGCCGGTTGCACATCGGCCGATATCCAGTCTCCAGTCTGGCTGCAGCTGCGAACCGGTTATATACTTTCATCTGGCAGTCTTAGCACGGTCCCTAAAAGAGAATCCGATGACTATAGCTTTGCGGTGCGCGAGACGTGCGAGGAAAAGAGAAAGGAGAGAGAATGGTAGGGAAGGGGTTAATGCCTGAACCAAGGCATGCTTATGCAGCGGAATAAAGGACGTCCAATGTCTCTCTTCCACTCTTTCATTTTTTTTTAATTTTAATTTTACTATATTTCTTCTCATACACCGGCAACATTCTTTTGCGACAAAAAAGAGAAAGAGGGAGAGGGAGAAAAAGAGAGAGAAATAGTTGCATATTTAACTGTAAGTGGACGATCATTCGAAAAACACTGCGCTCGAACTGATACGAGATGATACGAAGGCGATATTTGATGAGATCATATGTGACGATTAATTCCGGCCATAATGAAAAGCATATCCTGTTTGGCTGATAATATTGAATGCATATTTGCAGGCTAATTGATTGTAGACAATAGATCAAAATTTTATAAAATTTTATAAAATATTAAAATATATTTACAATATCGAATTAAGAGTTATTTAAAAAAAGATTAAGTGTATTTTTTACAAATTAATTGTAAGAAATTAAGTTTGCTTTACCACATGCGTTTTATGTAAAATTGAAACTAAAACTTATTTGAAAAAAGTTGTTACTATTACTCAACATATTTTAAGAAATATATAAATCTATAAGAATATAGATTATTTTAGAAATATACAGATTTTTTTGCAGTGTTCAAATTTTTAAATTTAAATTTACTGCAATTATGCATTCCATATCACATCTTAGAATGTTATACAATATAATATTTTACGGAATATTAAATTTTAATCTCCCTCAAAATTTTACAGATTGTAATACATCTCCCTCAAAATTTTATAGATTGTAATACATGGATCTCAGTTAAATTTTAGAAACATTAATATAAGTTTCGCAAATAGCAATCATTAATTTTTTTCATTTTATAAGCTCTTGTCGCAAACAAAAGATAGAGAAAGCAGATTATGCAGTTACAAAGAGACATGGTACGTTAATAATTTATCATCTGTCGCTTAAAAGAACGTACGATAACTGTAATGACATTCTCCGAGGCTGAGAGAACATATGAGATAACAGTAGAGGAAAAGAAAGAATTCAAAAAAATTGATGCATGCACTAAAGTACAGTTCTCTTTTTGTTAAAATACGATTCGTATATCACCACATTTCTTTTAGTGAGTATCAAACCGCATGTGGCAACGATCAATAGCATCATGAAATACAAAGCAGCATAATCTCTAGCAAAGGTTTTTGATGAAATTTCAGAGAGACAATTAAACTTGATGCTAGAATTGGTATTCGTTTATCATAAAAGGACTAGATCATAGAAGGAACAAACGACGTCAAGTACGAATGGAATAAAGAAATAAATTGGATAAATAATATCCTGGAATATATTCTCTTTTATTTTTACAAATAAATATTATATATTTCGGATTTTAAGAAAGCAATATTAGCGATACATGAATTGATACACAGACGTGTAAGTGATAAAAGAAACTTCAACAGCGCGTCTTTGCATTCAATATATTACATCATCCTACGCAATGACATGTTCTTTTAAAATTATTGATATGTTGTCCCAATTTTATTCAAAGAATTTTTCACGCGCTGCCCACTATATAAGCGATTTCAAGGTCTACTAGATCCGATTTCACATTTGTTAAGGACACGTAGGCGATAGACTATCATGAGCTATTAGTACAAAAGAATTGAGACACGAATGGTATTATTATTTAAAAATTATTCTCAATGGAAACAAATTCGAGATAATTGGAAAAAGTATAACTTAAGAAACATACACGCGATAGATTTATGCCCTGAATAAATACATTAATAATGGTCTGATTATTTTTGAAAAAATATAGACTAATCGCAAATCTTCATTTTATGCTATTTTTTCTATATATAAATTGTTTATTTTATATACATCATATTTGTATTATTTTTTATTTTAAAAGCATTATGATATTATCTTTGATCCTATATATAATTATATTGATTGCTAGAAATTATCTTAACAATGTCCTTAATGATTATTTTCTAAATTTTACATTTGCCTCTTTTTTTTAATTCCTATCTAATTATATATTTTTAATTATTTTTAATATATTTAAAAAAAATAACTTTAATAAAATTATAACTTTAATATTTAAAGTATAATAGTAAAACACAATTTCTGACATCTGACATTCAATGTTAAAAGTAAAAGTTAACTTGATCGGTTGATCATATTCAACGAACTTAATTCACTGTTGGTATATTAGGCGGCTTTATAAAGCCCGATAGATTATTACATTCTTCTGCATTTAAATACATATCCTCTATAACAAACTTCTATGAATGCAATACTATTTGTTGTTAATCTTTTGCATATATATAATCGTTTCATTAATAATCGCCCTTTATTTTTAAAGATATTTGTATTTTTTTTGTTTCAAGAGTACGTAATTCTTTACTACGAATAAAAAAAAATGTTTCTTATAAAATGAAAATGTTTAGTATCTTTCACACTATACCGTCGCGCGTAACATTTATATTTGCTAACAAAATGATATTATATTATTACAAAAATAATAATTTACGAAGGAGCATAATAAAAATAGGGAATACAACAATTTTAGATTGTCACACAAGTTTTAAATTGTCAGTGGAAGACGTTTAATATATTATATGCTGACAATACGTGTCGCGAAACTGCTGACAAATTGTTACTGTACAAAAATATTTAGCAGTATTGCCACAAGTTTCATCTGATATCAATTATTGTTCGTCGAAATATGTATAATTGTCGATCATGGATAATTTAATGTCTTCCTTTAAATTAAGTATAAATAAAGTAGGAAGATAGAAAATATTTAATATTAAAATAAATTAATTTTTTTTATTATGCACATTCGTTTTCATGTTAAATATCACCAAGAAATTCGTTGGGCATAAAGCTGATCCTCCCAGTAGAACACTTTATTAGAGAAAATAAAAAATTGCAAAAAATTAATTGTACAAGTCGTGAGCGATTCTAAGTAAATCTGCCATTTTTCCGGCCTTTTCATATTTAAGCGATAAAAAATGTAAGGAAGAATAAAGTAACGTGGTTCTACTAGTAACTGAGGTATCAGAATCATGCATACGCAAATAATATAATTAATCTGTGTAAGAAATCTCAAATGACTGATATTTCGCGATATGGCGAATAGACTCGCGAAGTAAACCGGTATCAACAAATACTTGAACATCGCGTATCGGCCCATGAATCGATTCCATACGTAGAATAAATAATGTCGATTATCGGCCAAAACATAGGGGTGAACGAGTGTTTTAAAATGAATCACCGTGGCCATTAATACAACGACGCAACTGGCGAAAATCCAGTATCGGCGAAGAAAATGCAAACATGTTCGCCAATGAGGCATCACGTACGGCCACGAAAATAGAGAGACGAAAGCCGAAAAATAGAATATCTGACAAACGTGAATCGTTGCGACGTGGGCGGTTCGATCGCCGATTACTATGCCTTTATTCCACACGACGAAGGCGACAAACATCAAGCACACCATTATATAAAGAAATAGACTATGACATTCTTCTACAATAAATTTGATAAAGGATAACGGCCCCTTGCGTAACTCGTACATTATCTGCTTCCATAACAACTAGAAATAATTTAGAAAGAAGTTTGCAGGATTAATTCTTCCAATGCTTGTGATATGTGCATTAAAATTTTTCAATTTTACTTACACGAAAGTGCAATGGAGTATTGAGCACTTGTGGTGAGACTGGCTGTTCCATCTTATTACCAAATATATCTAACGCATGTTCTACAGTAAGGAAGCCAAGCCAAATGATATTTGTTTGACGAACAAGTACAGCTATTAAACCTGTATAATATTACTTTAATTCGTTTCAACTTTAATTTTATTTTCTCTTTCTTATGATTTATATAAATATAATGTAATTACCTGCAAATGCTGTCATTTTTATGTGCTTACGTTGGTGCAGAAACAACATTACGAGTACTATATTTACAGATATAACATCTGTATAATAAAAAAAGCACCAAAAGTATAATGGTGGAAAAAGGGTAATATTGTAGGCCAGCGTAAGTATCAACCAATTATTCCACCGCTCTGTTTCATTAAATTTGCAATTTTCCTTTATAATATTATAAATAAGATAAAGATTTAGGAACGTTCCAAATAAATTTATACATCTTATGTATGTAATATTGCACATATTAAAAGGTGATAATATCACAGTTGTAATAAGATACAATCCTGGCAATGTAGTGATTTTTGGGTCCCACTGAAAATAATTTAACTTGATTTATTTTTGAGAATTGCATGCGATACTTAAGAGCAAATTATTTTTGTGCCATGTATTACCTGCGTAAAATCCCACGCACAGTATTGTATTGTCTGCGGTATATGAAAAGCTTCATCGATGAAATAATGTGGTTGAATACGATTGAGATATAAGAACAGTAATATAGTACTTGTAATAAATAACGTTAATGTGGAATACATAAACATTTTGTAGTTTGATTTCATGTAATTGAGATGAGATATGAGACTCATGATTACTTTAAAAATGTGTCCACAAATGTCATTTAACTTCAATAGCTGCACATTCGTTAAATTAATACTGTTATATTAAATACATCATCACAGCAGCTTATTTTGATTAATTTAATCTAACCTAACCAATTATATTATTTCCTTCTCATTAAAATGCGTAAAACTGTATCACTGCATCGCACATTTAATACGATTATACCATGTAATAAAATGTATTACACTAATGATTAAATATTATTTTTGAAAGCATGGTAAAATCCACGCAGCATATGCTCGTGTTTACATCAACATCTGAAGACAATGAGAGGTTAGGTTAGCTCGAAAAAATTATCATTTGGCAGTTGGCATCCCTACAAGATAGGCCCTGCACGCGCGTATACAAAGTAAACTTCAAATCGTTTCCAGCGTAACCACCTTCACGCGATCGACTTTATTTGAATTGCATCGCGTCGCATCGAATTATGATGCGGCGCGAATTTGCTCGAACGTAATTCAGGACATCGCGATGCTGTACAAGCGTCGAATGAGCACGAATTGTCACGGAAATATGATAAATGAAGTCAACTCACCGGCTGTTACAAGGCCGCTCCATTTGCTCGCCTCGGGACGTCCCATTCCGATTTTGATGCGCACAAAGTCACACGATATCACCAACGCGACGCGCGACACTTTATTCGGCACTCCCGATACTCGCTCGCATCCGATAATCATCATCAAGAGAGCGAATAACGCGACGCAATTTCGCTCCACCTTCGCGATGACGCCATCGCCGAATATCGTTAAATACTGTCAAAAACTGCTCTCCCGCGCTTCCATCGACATACTCTGAAAGTCGGACGATCATCCTTGGACACTTTCAATGCTCGTTCACTCGCGATATTCGTTTATTTGCGGTTAAAAGACGCGAAAAATGCGGACGCGTGCGACGACTGCGTAACTGCGTATGACTCTGATTCACGTGTGACGTCACAGCAATGGCGCGGACTAACATGGCGGCCGAACCAGTGCGCATTCGTTCTGCGCATGGCCATTACTACGCTCGACTTCGCGCAACTTTTGATTTCTGAATATTGTCTACGGCTTTGATTAATATAGTACATAAATATATAAGTAATAGATATATAAGTAATAAATAGATATATATAAATTGATATATAAATAGATATAAATAAATAGATATATAAGTAATAATAAGTAATAAATATATAAGTATATATAAATAAATATATAAGAATCAGGCAAAACTTATTTAAAAAATTAGAATTAAAAATTTACTTTTATTTATATACATAAGCGTCTTGTGTGTGCTATACAACACTTGTGTTATTGATATTTCGTGCACGTAGCGTGGAATACAACCTGGAATTGTGTGTTACCTATTGAAAATAGATTTCTAGATACTGGCTTCGTAGTTCAAGCTCACGTTTTTATGTTTATAGAGGATGCATCGCTTTTAGAATTTACCTAAAAGCGGACCATGACATCTCTCTTTCTTTTCTCTGTTAGACAAATTAATTTAAAAAATCAATTTTTTTTCTTCATATTTCATATATAATATAATGACATATACATATAATATAACGACAAATACAAAAACAAAATACTGTTTACAAATATGTAATTTATATATGTATATTATTGATTAAAATTATTATATAAAAAAATTCTAAAACCAAATGAAAATAATAAAAATAATTGTTTTTGTCTAATTTCTTGTTTCTTTTTATCCCTTTTACATATATAATTATATATATAATTATTTTTTTCAAAATATATTATTAATCTTAAGATGGGCATTTTTTAAAGATCAATTTTTCCTCGGATGATATTATTACTTTTTACAAAAACTACCGTAAAACTGTTGTAAAGTATCCACGATATATAAAGTTTTGAGGGCAATCTTTTTTATACTTTCTAATAATATCTTTGCTCCTACATAATATTTGTAAATATCTTTACATATTATAGTTTGTAATTATTTTACTTTTTGCAAAACTCATTATGCAATCATACATTCTAAAATTAATTAATTGCATCAATAAATATGTTGTCACGATTAGAATATTTCAAGATTATTAATCATCACGCTAATAAACGCACATTATCGTTTCTTTCATTACAACGATCGATGATCCGTACGCAGAGAAAGAGATGGTGTGCCCCACTATCCCTCTGTAAAGTGTATCTTCCCCTGGAGAAGCGGTGAGATGGCACAGGTGACCGGAGGTTGTGACGGGAGGGGGGGGAAGCCCCCTCGTGCACGCCTCAGGGAGCACGATGGGCTGAATTTAACTTGGAACAACCGTACGTTTTGTGGTGTTCTCTGTACACGGTCAGTGCTCACGCCACAGAACGAATGCCAGGCAACGATGTGCGCTCTTTCGACGGGAACCACGCTGACTTCGTTCGAACCTTCAGTTTACTGTCGTAAGCTCACTCGGACAGGTGAGCGCCGCGTTCGCGGCCGATCGGGCAATGACACGATTCCATGAAAATTCGACAGACTCGATACTTTAACTTCGCCATAATAACAGAACTTCAATTTTATTTTACAAATTTATTATAATCTCAGTGTTAGATTCGAGAATAACAATAAATACCATGTGAAAAAAGTGCTACTACAATGTAAAAGAGATCAGTTCAAACAGATTTCACTCATTAAAATAAATTGTGTCAAATTTTTTTCGTTTCTGATTTAACAATGGAATTTTAAAGATGCTTTTAAACTTGAAATATTTTAAATTGAGTGATTATATTATTAAAGTGGATTTTGATTTTCGTAATTATAATGTAATATAACATATAAATAATTTAAATAATTAAATCATAATGGAATCAACAATTTCCACATTACAACATTCTGCAATAAAATACAATGTAATATATGATAAAACTGCGCCATTTAATATTTTACTAATAATTTAAAAAGTGACAATAATGAATAACTCAGTTTAATCTATGAAAAATACACAGTTTACTTATACAGATATATAAATATATTTTCCATTAGTAATTACGCTAACATTAGCGCTGATAAATGTTGAAGTTGCGGTAAAACGATTGTGTGAATAAAGACATTCATTTTCACACTGAATGAATCTCTGTTTTCATCATTATAATAAACGTAAAAATTTGAGTAAGTACAAAGCACTTTTGAAAATAAATATTAAAAATTTCGCATTTGTATTTTATAAAGATTGATCCAAGTCTTTATTTTATTGTAATTAAATTTTTGTATATTCTTATATGTATATTAAATATTCATATTAATAATTTTTAGATTATTAATATTTCTTATAATAATAAAATTTTATAAATATGCGTAACTCTTGTGTAAACAAAAATATAAAACAAAATATATAATTAATTTACATAATTGACTTAAGAAATTTTATAATAGCCTCAATGAGAAAAAATGATATATATTTGACAATAAACAAAAATAAACAAAAATAAATTAAAATATTCGATAAGATATTTTTCTAAATATGTTATATATACAAAATAAATACGCATGGCAATAAATAAATGTCTTTCTAAATTTGTCGATTAGCAGAATTTCAAGATTTTTTATGGAATTCTATCTACCTATTTTTATATTTTAATTAATGATTTTTCTTATCGCTATATTTTATTAGCTGCAGGAGCGTGCACATTTTTTAAGGAAGTTAGAAATGTTTTAAAAGTTCCGCAGAACTTTTAAAACATTGACAGACAGCACGTCTATCACAGTCAACTGATATGAATTATGCCAGTGTGGAATTTCACAAATCTGACATGCAATTAATGCTGATCTGACACTTCCACTGAAGGTTTAATTCGCGGAATCAACGGTATTGTTGGCGAGTCCTCAATAACTAACCTTGCAATCTATAAGACATACGTTTCAATATACTTATTATTATATAATCAATTTTCAACAAACTTCAGTAAGAAGTGAAGATCTGTATGTGTGATTTAAGAACTAAATATTATATTTCAATTACTGTATAAAGTCTATGCTGAAATGAAACTAATTCTTATTTCTAGCGTAAAATTTTATTTTTTAAAACTTTCAAGCAAAAATAAATAAATGTAGAAATAATATATTGCATACTTAAAAAAATACGTACAAAAAAAAATATATACAAAAAAATAAATTAAAACAAGCAGAATATTTATATCTGTTTATAGCGCAATCAATCAAAAGTGTTGCAGCACTCTCAAAATATACAGAAAATGCAAAAATGAATGTTTTTTATCTATGTTTTCCTCTGTTTTTTTCATATTCATAAAATTATTAATTCATAAAGTAGCAATAAAATATAATTTGATAATATATGCTTTTGTCATTAAAATAATTTCCCTCTTTTTATAAATGATGTAATAGTTTTCATCGGTACTATATATATTATATGTGTATCTCTAAATATAATTCATATATTTTTCCTGCGTAATTCACCTTTATTTGCTGTGGCTTCCGTTTATTACGGAATTAAAATTGAACGTTGAAGCAGCTAATCATTAGCGATCGACGATTGTTAGCACTGACACAAATTTTCTTATGACGACATATTAATCATTAAAAGGGGAATGTTTATGATGCAAGAATGCAATAGCGCTTTAACTCAGCTATATGCATCCTCTTATAGTGTTATGAAATATCATATCTTTTCTTCTTTGATAATCATACAACGCCATTGTATTACATCGCGATAATGCTTGCGATGAAATAAGACACTGCTAATTTCTCTCCCACGAATAATGTCTTGTTGTGCTACAGTGTGAAAAGAACATTCGTTTTACTTACATGTGCTATACTCTCGCAGTAACATCTGTCTACTGTTGTAACGCCAGATGTAACCGCAGAGTAATAAAGAGTCTCGGAATTGGCGAATTTTTAGCAACGAATAGCTACAAACTCACGCATTAACAGTTTCAAAATCGTGTTTCGTAGATTAATTTTTACTTGATTCAGGTAATATTAAATAAAAAAAGTTAAATAATGTATTTTTAAATTATTACTTTCTTAATTAAAATTATAGTTAAATTTAAATGTGTGTAAATTTGAAAAAAGTAAAATATTTCTATGGGATTTTTATTGGAAAAATTCTTCGATATTCTTTCCAAATATTACTTCAGTTTTAAAGTGTTGATTGTGAAAAAGAAACGCATATCAATATCAGTCAGCATATTCATACCTACCGAAAGGATCCTTTACACATGGTGTGGGGGAGCTCGTCACGCAAGCAAATTCTATATGGGGTTGGCTGGGTAACAGACAGTATTATATGGGCGTATGTCAATATCCTGGACGTTATCATTCGGAAGCATGCATGGCAGGTGTAGGAAATGACGTCATGTACCTTGTATAATCCCCACTGGAAATGTGACTTTACTGACCCTTTATTCAAACCAGCGTAACATAGAGAAAACTTCCTTTATGTATACACATGTTTCTCTTTTTACGTAGTGAAGGTTTACTATGTGTTCTACCTTTGTACGAATAGCTTGTGTTGAAAGTAAAAATGTAGTTGACACGGTAGTTAAATAATAAAATTATCCTATTTAAAGTATTGATCCATGTTTTCAATATGAAGGACTTCGCGATACGAAGGTGAATGCAGTTGTTATAAGTAGATAGTTTTCAAAGAAAATTTCAGTCACGCGATCTTCATATATGCATTCAAATATTTTCCACTTTTAAATACATAAAAAATTGGGCGAATCAGTGTATGTAATCAATTACGATTGATAGTATTAAGCAACAAAATATCTTTGTGTAACTATCGTAATAACGTGATGCATTAACGTGATTATTAAAAAAAAGAAACATATAAACTGTTTGAAATCAAGTGATTATTACAGATAAAAATTATGTTACTCAATACAATTTTTATCAATATTCATCAGAATAAGAAGAAATTTGTTTCCTGTGTAGAAACAACGGTCTTTATTCGTTGAAAATCAGATAACGCACGTACATCATGCACATTTGAATACACGAGTATCCGCACGAGTATCGAGAAGCTTCGCACTAGCCTGTTATTTAGCAGTCTTAAAAGTCAAGAGCGTGGCCGATACACTCTGTTGGCAAGAAGAGCACCGTTCGGCGTGCTCACTCAGTGTTCTTTAAGTGTCAAACTATCTTAAAGGAGATTCCTTACACATAAACACGGGTCAGTGCAAACATTTCTTCCGCGTTAAATGATATATGCCTTCATTATCAAATATGTTTATAAATCTTTTAAACAATTTAGAATTAAGTTTTTTTTACTAAGAAAATAAAATATACATTTGTTGTATAATTTTCAAATTTTCGATATTCCAAATTATAAAATTATCCAAATTTTTAAAGAATGCAATAAATAAATTTAATATTTACATTAAAATTTAATTAAAATTCAATCCATTAGCAAAATTAATTAATATATATAATTTTTTCATTCATATATATTTTGCCAATGCTTGGTTCGTTTAATATATGTTTTATTGATTATTCTGTAAACTCGATTAAACTTTGCAACAATTTTTACCGACAATTAGTTTGTTTTTAATTGTAACATTTTTCTTTCCGAGAATGCAATATTATATCATCACCTCATTAATTATATAAGATCCTAAAAAGACCGAGCCATTAAGTATACCTTACATAATAGATAGGGGAGATTTCTAGTTGAGAGAATCATTTTTTTAATTATATTACGGTCATACATCGCAGTTTAAGAGTTGTGGGAAAACGTCGTCTCTTCCGGTAAGCTTTCACTCCAATTTAATCTCCGTGATCGTTTGCGACGAGATACTCTTGACATTGCATCAAGACGACGTTTTACCGAGGAGAAAGCAACCAGTCAGCGTGAATATCGGTTTATCAAACTAAATGCAGCAAATAAATAGGCTATGTATGTGCAAATAAAGTATGTCGAAGTCTCTGCGAAACGCATATTAAAGATGTGCAATAAATATCCAAGAGAAACATGCAATATAATATATAATATATATACAATATAATTCTTGCAAATTGTATTTCAATTGTGCATATCAATAATAAATATCACACTTTTATTCTACTTGCCTATTTTTTAAAAACAGTTTAATATAATTCTTATTTGACTATTCAAAATATACCTTTTATTTTTAAGTATAATTTTTTACTTATTTTATTGTTTATTCTTGATATTATTTTTTAATAATATGATATAATAAATAAGATTTAATAATATGATATAATAAAGATTTTAATAATATGATATAATAAGATTTTAATAATATGATATAATATGATATAATAAAGATTTTAATAATATGATATAATAAGATTTTAATAATATGATATTCTTGATATAATTTTTTAATAATTGTATATTTATATGTATTGATTTCAGAACATTAAGAATTGATCTAATCATAGAATATTCTGTGCGAGGAAGATCATGTCGATTACAAAGATCGCTCGATCAAGATGACGTCGAATAAGCAAACGGCATCTTCCTGGCTATTACGATCGTGTAAAAGAAGCCGGTTTAAAATAGAATTGTTATATTTTATATTTGCATATTTGTTACCGCATTGCTTGGCCAGAAATAATCCTCCTAGATTCCTCATAGATGGACAAACAGAAATCGTTCTCAGATTGAAGGAAGGGCCTGAAACGCCAATTGGTAAAGTTTTTTTTCTGAATGTTTTTAAAGTTATAAAATTTCTTATTAATTTTCATTATTTTGAAAAGATTATAACCATTAAAATATTTTCATTATCGTTTGTAATTATTTAACAATAATACATTTACTCCTCTTTAAGAATGTCACATTTTTTATTTATATTAGATATAAATATTAGATATAAATAGTATATTTTTAAATAAAAAAATTGTTGCAGGCAGTTTAATTTACAGACTGAAAGGCATCGACACAGACGGTGATATTCTAACTTTTAGCGTTCGAGATCAGCCTGGTAGTGATGTGATTCGAGTCGAAAATTTTGGTCTAACTGAAGCTAATATTTATTTAAATAAAGTATTGGATAGAGAGGTAATTTTCAAAAAATCTGTATTAATATATTAATTTAATATATTATTACTATTATTAATATATATTATTAATTTAATATATTTCTAACATTTATAAAGAATTATATGTGTTTGCTAAGATTGTGAGTTAAACATATGTCACGCATTTTGACAAAATATTTTTATTAAAAAAGAAGTTATTTACTTATTTAGTTATTTATTTATTTAGTTATCACGTTACATTATCACATTAAAAATTGCAAAACCAAAATTAAATCCTTAGAACAAATTACCCATTTTAAAAACAAAATCTATGCTTTTTCAAATGAGATGTCAATCAATTAATCAATTACCCACGATTAAGGAAATAGAAATAATGTAGAAAGAGACATACCTCGATAATTCTTGCGTTGACCATATCATTGATCACCAACTATTTTTGTTTCGCACGGATGGTTAATGCATCTTAATTTTTTTTGTGAAAATCAGTAATACTGCCAGTCCGACAACATCATAATCATTAAAGAGAAATTTAAGTATCAACGACAGAGACAAACGTAATTTATGATCAATCATCTTCACAAGGATTCACTTTACAAAGCTGTCATTTGTGGCCATCATCGACGCACGCGTGAAATAACGCGAATCTGAAATTAACTTTCTATCGCTCACAGTACCTAGTTATAGTAATCGAGCTATAATTTCATCATTATACGTATAATTTTTAAAATCTACATCGATCGTGCTTGATTTAAATTTTATACATATACTTTAATTTTCATTTTCCTGAATATTGCAAAGCTCTTACGATAAATATTTCCGATAATATGCATTTAATTTTACATTTCATGCAAATTTGTGTTCTATAGGCAAAAGACGAGTATGCCCTCGTGTTAACGCTGACAGATGGAAGATTGGGAGAAGGAAATTTTATCACGCAAAGTCTACTACTTCTGGTTGAGGATATAAACGATAATATACCAGTTTTTCGCCCGCATCCAACCTCATTAACACTTCGGGAGGATGCACGTCCAAGTGTTTTAACAACAGTGGAAGCTACTGATGCCGATTTAGGTGCTCATGGTCAAGTAGTATATTATCTTCAAGAATTGGATGGCGATAACAACGTTTTCAGCATATCGACTATTAATGGCAAAGGTGTTATACGCTTGGTGGGTTCTCTGGATTATGAACGAAAGTATCTATATCAACTGCGAATCTTGGCTATTGACCGCGCCATAAATGAAAAGGTAATCTTTTAAAAATATATATTATTTTTATCATAAATATTCTAATATTTATTTTTACACTTAAATATTGTACAAATTATTTATTTTTACGTTTAAGTATTGACAGTAGAAGAATTTGATTTTAAATTTATTTTATTTTTGTGAATATAAATCCAATATGCATATACATTGATTATTCAGTTGATATACGTTTGTTAAACACTTTAAAAGTTATAGGGGTATTATGTAAAATACGATATGTCATTTTTCATACATACACGTGGATATTCTGTAGATAAAACCCGTATATGACCTATAATTACCGGATAGTTCAATGACTTTTTCCGGCAAAGTCAAGCGCAGTGAAGGATGAACAATGCCAGACATGATTATATCTTATCTACATAGGCATCGTTACAGTTATTTATTATAGTCATTTACTTGAAGCAACTTCCTGTAAAAGATACATTTTACTTATATTTAATTATTTCAAGTAAATATTTAATTATTTCAGGTAAATACAGGAACGACCGCGATTTTGATCAAGGTACAGGATGTGGAAGATCAGCCACCGGAATTCATAGCCATGACGCCTGTCGCAAGAATCAGTGAAAACGTTAAGATTGGTACATCTGTTTTACAAGGTCAGCATTATATTCCGTAATTAAGACGAGAAATACGAAAATTATTATACAATATTATAAAATAAAGATTTTGAAACTATTTCCAATTAAAATTTAATTCTAATAAATTTTTGATAAAAAGTTTTAATTGAATGCGGAAACAGACTAAAAATATATGAATGAGAATTTCTTCATATATTCCTTGAAGAGATATTGCTCAATTAAAATAAGATTAATAATAATGTTTAATTATCAATTTTCAGCTAATTAGTTTGAAATCTTATTCAAATATATAAGCATTAAAGCAAAATATATAATATATTTCATACAATTGCAAGATATCTCTGTATCTAAAATTTTGTAATTCTAATGATCAATAAACGTTACAGTTCGTGCGGTGGACGGTGATAAAGGAATAAATAACAAAGTAACGTATAGTATCACAAAGGGACCGAGATATTTGTTTGAGATTGATGCAGCTTCCGGTCTCGTGTTCACCAGAGCACAATTGGACAGAGAAGCCGAAGAAAATAGCGATGGCACTTTTATCTTAGAAATTACAGTAAAAGAAATGTCAAAAATTAATCCGCCGCCTTCGGTTAGTACCGAGGTGACCATTATTCTTACTGATGTAAATGATGAAACGCCAACATTTCGAAGTATGGTATATCATGCTGAAATAAACGAGAACGCGCCACAAAATACGCCCGTCAATTTTATTGGCGATGCTGTACCAGAAGTTTTCGATCATGACTTGGTAAGTTAAGAATTATGAGGTTTGTGTTGTGACGTATTTTTAATTTTTTTTTCCAAAAATAAATAAATAAATATTCACATAAAAAATACTTAGTGTTTTAAAAATATTATGTACTATTTTACAAAATAATTTTTTTATTAAACTTTGAAAATGCTTTTTATTAATACAATGAATTTTTTTGAAGGGTTCTAATGGTACGTTTCGAATATTTATCGAAGGCGATGGTGGAATATTTGATATAACACCTTTTCGTGGGATTAATGAAGCACCGTTTTTGATACGCGTTAAAAATTCGAGTAAACTCGATTTTGAAAAGATATCAGGTAAAGGCGCAATTTTATATATTTTATTTTCTTGATTAACTAAATGCATTATTACATCAAAGTAAATATTGCATATAAAGTTATTAAAATTTCAATGTGCTATGTATCCATTATTTTACAAGCTAATGTGCATTTTTGATCCAAATTATTTCATATTTATAAATCTATTTTATATTTATAAATCTTATATAGAATATAAAATTTATGTACTTTTTATAGTGGTAAACTTCACACTCGTCGCAAAAGAAATCTCGCCGATTTTGCCAAAATACAGCGCAGTACCAGTTACTGTTTTTATCAAGGATCAAAATGACAATTATCCCGAATTTACGGAAAATGTCTATGAGGTCTCAATCCCGGAAAACTGTGCCAAAGGAACTACCGTGGCTTGGGTACAGGCTTTGGATGAAGACAGCGGTAACTTTGGAACAAATGGAATACGATATACATCTTTAGGCGGTAGCATTGCACATGTGTAAGAGTTAATATATTAATATAAGAAATAATATAAATTAAAATATATGTTACATAATTTTTGATATATCTACTATAAGTTAAAAAAATGTAAGAAAATTCTTTTGTTGTTCAGTATAATTATATGAAGATATTTAATAATAATAAGAATATTTAATAATAAGATATTAACAAAAGTGATACAATTGCAATAGTTTAGTTATTTATCTCTATACTTATCTCTTTTCACACATAGATTGGCAATGGATCCTCTCACCGGCGTGATAACGGTCAAATATCCCGGACCTAGTTTTGATCGCGAATTAGTAGCTCGACATTATCTCACAGTCGAAGCACGAGATGATCTTGGAAAAGGGAATCGCAATGCTGCGCAATTGATAGTCAATGTTAAAGATGTTAATGACAATGCGCCTATATTTCTGCAAAATAAATACGAAGCTATATTGTTGGAAAACAAGGATCAGTTTGAATCACCTCTGATTGTCGAAGCATCTGACAACGATTTAAATGGTTAGACAGCATTTATAATAAACGAAAAGCAAATAATATATGTATTTATATATTTAACATGTGTTTAACACTTTATATATTCGTACACAGGTACACGAAACAGTGAGATATCTTACGCATTAGTATCGAGTGAATTCTCTCGAAATTTTACAATCGATCCAAAACTTGGCCTTGTGACACCCATCCGTCCTTTGGATTACGAAGCTTTGCCTACCAATCAAGGATATAAAGAAAATATTATACGTCAATTAAAATTGACGGTCAGAGCCAGAGATGCAGGTACACCGAGTCTAACTTCCGATGTGCCCTTGATTATTTATTTGAAAGACATTAATGATAATGCGCCAGTTTTCGAAAGAAGTTTATACAGAAGAAGTATAGCTGAAGATTTACCGGGTGGCACGAGTGTTATACAAGTATGTAATTACAATATTGTAAGACAAAATTAAAGATGAAAATTTTAGAATTGTACAAGAAATAAAAACATAAAAAAGCTTATTAATAATTAAAATTATCAATTAAATAAATATTAACTAAGAAATTATATTCGCACAGGTAAAAGCTTCGGACAAAGATTTATCGTCGCCTAATAATAAATTAGTTTATCGGATTCAAAGTGGTGCCGAAGACAAATTTGTTATTGGTTCTGAAACAGGCGTAATTAGAGTGGCACCGGGCTCGAATCTAGATCCAGATCTGACGTCACCGAAAACAACGATGTACAAATTGAATGTTATTGCAATTGACAGTGGTACCGAAATTCAACGAACGGCCGAGGTTCTTGTTAACATTACGATTTTAGATGTTAACAATAAACCGCCCGTCTTTATTGATCCTGGAACTGTCACTATCAGAGAAAACACTCAGGTATATTATCAGAGATATTTATCGCACTGTAAAGGCATGATAAATGAATGAACGAATGAATTAATGATTGCAAAGGCATTGATAAATGAATGAATTAATGATGTTAGGTCGGTGCGTACGTTCATCGCATAATGGCGCAAGATCCGGATGTAGCTCCTATTTTACGTTATCGCGTGGATCCTAACTCATCAGAGGCACGTAACGAGGAAGGCACTTTAATCAAGATACAGGAATATGACTATTTAGCAGCGTTGGAATTAAATCCGTTCGATGGCCTGTTACGTATAGTAAAGTTGTTGGATAGAGAAAGGGTAGAAACTATTAGACTGGGACTTGTGGTTGAGGATTTGGCCGCAGTAAGAAGCTTGCAAACTGCATCCGGTTAGTTTCATTAATTTTCAAAGAAACAAGTGTTATAAGAAGAAGCTTTCTTATGTTTAATATAAAAATAAAAATAATAATGTGCTGAAAATGTTTGCAGCTATACTAAATATAATTATCGAGGATGAGAACGACAACAATCCTAAATTCCGAAGGCCTTTTTATAGACGCTCTGTTACTGAGAATAGTAAAAATGGTATTAATATCGCAAATATCGTCGCGGATGACGCTGATAAAAATCGCAGCATTACCTATTCTCTGCAAGGACCGAAAGAGATCATTGATCTCGTGCATTTAGATCCTGAAACCGGAGAGATGGTCGTTGCTAGCAAAATTGATAGAGAAATGTATTCATGGCTAAATTTAACAGTTAGAGCAACGGATTCTGGAATTCCACCTCGGTAAGAAAATTTTATGCAATTAAAAAAATTATGATATAGATTAAATAATGAAACACATGAAGTTGATAAGGTTTATAATTTCCTTATAGATTATAATTTCCTTAATTTATAATATTTTTATGTACAATTTCGAAAATAATCATTTGTAATATCTGAATAATTAATAATATTTCAACGTTATGTATTTCTACGAATGTTAGATTGATTAAATTTTGTAGGTCAAGCTTATCAGAAGTATATGTTCAAGTGCTAGATGAAAACGACAATAATCCATATTTCGTTTCGAACATCAGTAGTGTTAGTGTCATGGAAAATTCAAAAATTGGCACGGAAATTACTGTTATACAAGCCACAGATTCCGATAGCGGAGATTATGGAAAAATTACTTATCTTTTAGACAGAATGTCATCCCAGGTAAAGTACAAATGACATAAAGCTCGCATTTTATATTTACTGTAATTATGTAATATATATTTGTCTCATTAATATTAATAATTTTATTAATTAATTAAACGCAATGTAATGCAATGTAACGTAATATATAATTACATCAGTTTATATGGATAATTTATTGTTATAATCAAATATTATTTTAAATAGGGAACTTTCGCTATTCATCCAGAAACCGGTTCGTTGACAGTGGCTGATGTTCTTGACTGGGAGACTAAACATAGTTATGTTCTGGTTATTGAAGCTTGGGATAATTATCAATTTGGTTACACTGCGGGGGAATCTCGAAACGCGTTCAAACAAATTCAGTATGTTTATGAAACTTCACAACACAATTTTTTAATTTATAATAGATAGATTTGATTATAAATATAATTTTTTAATTTAATTTTTTGTACCACAAATAATTCAAATAACATTATGATGTAAAATATATTACTTTACTTTAGAGTTACAGTCATCGATGTAAATGACAATGCTCCGAAGATGGATGTACCACAAGGTTGCGTCTCAATATCAGAGTTTCATGACGTACGTGATTTAGTTTATGTCATAAAAGCAAAGGATGCTGATGATCCGACAACGCCAAATGGACGCGTCATAATTAGAATTACTTCTGGCAATGAACAAGGTGCGTAATTAAATTTTTATTAATATTTAATCCAATATTTATTAGCATTAGTATTATGCAAATATAGAAAATTGACGAAATTTTTGGGGATAAGCTATATATATTTTTTTAAATATCATATCTCATCGATTCTGAATAATATTGATCAAATACTGTTCAGCAGGTTTATTCATATTGGAACAAACTGACTATTGGACGGCAAAGATAAAAGCTGCGCGACCATTGAGAGGAAAATTTGGAAATTACACATTAAATATCGAAGCACGTGATCTGGGAACACCGTCCAATAAGGATAATGAAATTTTGGAAATCTGCGTCACGGATTACAACGATAATCCTCCTTTATTCGTCAGTCCTCAACACAATACCACTATCCGAGTTCCAGAGGTTCGTTTTTAGTCAATTTACATAATGCTATATTTTTAATTAATTAATGAAATGACTATATTTAATGATTCAATGCAATAAAATCATTTCAACAGAACATAACAGTAGGAAGTTCGATTATTCAAATTGAAGCAAAAGATGCTGATACAGGATTAAATGGTGATGTACATTATCGTTTAAAGCAAGATCTTGCTGGACATTGGAGAACCTTTCACATTGACGAAAAAAGTGGTATAATATTTTTAAAGGCACCACTTGACAGAGAAACTCAAAAATTGTATGAGGTATGAAAAAAATATAAAGAAGTAAGATCTAAAATAAATTTTATTTTTTTAAATTTAATTAATTTTATTCTTTTAATTCAATTAATTAATTTCTATTAAATGTTTTAATAAGACAGAATAAAACCTAAAATTAATATTAAATATATATGTCTCTAATAATAGATACGAGTCGAAGCATACGATTTGGGTACTCCAACGCCTTTAAGCTCAGATCTCGATTTAATTATTTATGTGCGTAATATCAATGATTTTGAGCCACAATTTTTAGTCAACACTTTTCATATAAATTTTACGGAAGAACAACCTCCTGGATCGGAGATGGTGTTACTTCCAGAAACGATTGATAGAGACGAAGTTGATGATTTGGACGATCCACCTACGCAAGTTTGTTATTTCATAGTTTATGGGAATGAAGACGGACTGTTTGTTTTAGACATCTACAAGCACGAACTTGGTGTAAGTTTCTCATTAAATAATTTATTGTCCAAATACAAATTTTATTTATATTTTTTACTTCTTAATAATTTGAAAATATTTAACATAATTTATCCTTTAGACTGCCAAGATGCTGGACAGAGAACAGCAAGAAGAACACTTATTACTTGTTAAAGCAACAGAAGATTGCGAAACTGTTCCAGATAACGAAATAACGTTCGACGAAGCTAATGATACCTTATTAAAAATCGTCATAAAAGTTGATGATATCAATGACAATGCACCGCAATTTATTAATAAAGTTTTCACGGGTGGTGTCACAACTGATGCTGATTTTGGCACACAATTTATGCACGTAAAGGTAATATAATGTTATAAAAAGCAATACCAATTATTTTTCACATCAGTAAATTGCTATTTAATTCATAATTTATATTTATTGCATATTTTAATATCATTAATGGTAATTAGTTTTAAAAGTTTAGGACAATAAGATTAAATTAATTAGTTTAATTTTAAAATAACCAATTTAATCTTACAAGATTTTAAATATCTATCCAATATATTTGACATGCATTCAATGCGTAAACATATATTGCAGGCAATTGATTTGGACGCTGGTGACAATGCTGTACTTAATTATTATCAAATAGGAAAAATTCACATGACATTAACTGAAGGTTTTGAAGATATGCAATTACAACCTTTTCTTGTAAATAAAGATACTGGAGCAATAAGCCTGAATTTCGATCCTCAACGTGGAATGAAGGGTTATTTTGATTTTATGGTATATATTTATTCTACTAATATATTTTTTATATTTTAACAAAATTTAATGCAAGAAATTATCTTGCAATTTTATTTTTGCACGAGAAATAAAACTGTCATCTTTTATATTATTTATATCTCACTGTAAACGAAAATTTTATTATAATATAAATTGTCTCGTATATAATAAAGTAAACAAAAATATTATTTATATATAATATAGATACTCGTTAACGATACCTATGGCTTACAAGATACTGCGAGAGTCTTCATTTATTTATTACGGGAGGATCAACGAGTTCGTTTTGTTCTTCGTCAACATCCGCCAGAAGTTAGAAGTCGAATTGAGACATTTAGAGAGTAAGCACAATATGTTGATTTATTTTATATTATCAAACAAAAAATTTAAAATTTTTATTAATAAATAAACGAAAAAGCATTATTTATATAAAATATTATTTAAATAATTTTTAAAGATATCTAAATTTTTCACATTTACAGAATTCTAGGTAATGTTACTAGCGCTATTATTAATGTTGACGAATTTAAAGTGCATGAAAATCAAGACGGTTCTGTAGATAGAACTAAAACGGATTTATACTTGCACCTCGTGAATCGTCGAGACAATTCGATCCTCGAGGTATCCGAGGTTCTCGAGTTGGTCGACAGAAATATTGAGAAACTTGACAATTTATTCAAGGAGTTCAATGTCCTCGACACGCAGCCGGCAAAGTCTCAACCGATCGTTCAGTATGAACAAGCAGGAACAACTTTCTGGCTTCTCACATTGACCCTGTTCCTAGGAGCTTTATTGATTCTATGTGTCGCTCTATGTTTGTCTCAAAGAGCGTCTTTTCAAAGGCAATTGAAAGCAGCGAACGCATCACCGTTCGGTAATTTGAATTGCAAATAATTATTTCTATCAATATGTCATTCATCTCTGTGAAATTAATATATTACTTTCTAAGTTTCGATATAATTGACTGACTCTTTACAAAAAAAGTTTAATCTGTGATATATGTATTTTGCAAAAAATTCTGGCAATTAAATGTAAAATATACTTTGTATAATTATTTATTGCAATATTATTAAAATATACTTATTTTGATATTTTTTCAAGGTGCGTCGGACTCGGAATTTATGCGAAGTCCTGGTCGTGTTCCGAATACGAATAAACACAGTGTAGAGGGCTCAAATCCCATATGGATGCACGCTTATGAAAACGAGTGGTTCAAAAACGACGAATCATTCAGCCATACATCCGAAAGAGATTCTCTCGACGAGAACGCGCTTAATAACGAAGAGATGATGAATGAAGCTAATACAAACCAAAGAGCTGAAGACAAACCATATTATATAGAGCCAAGAGTTTCAACTATTTCTAGGTATAAAACCATGTTTTCCTTATATTACTGCTTATTCGTAATCGTTAATTAAAATTATTAATTATAATTTTCATGAATTGAAAAGTATAATATGTACATTCATGATGCTTGTGACATTAATGTATTAAGTCTAAATGCAAATTTTATTCTATTTTATTTATACAATATTATATCTATATACAATTTAATTTTATTTTCCTATTACAGTGCTGAAAGTATCGACATCCAAAATGATTTTAGCAGAAATTCATCGATTTACGCAGGACACAATGTAATTGTGAATCCTTTGGGGAAAAAAATCGAAACAACCGAATTGTAGGACATCGATTAATTTGATTAAGATAGAATTTGATTAAGATAGAATATAAATTTATATATAATATAAAATTATTTTGTAAATAATTCATAAATACTCATAAATAATTTATCATTGACTATCGTAATTTTAAATATAATATATTCGTAAGTTATTTATTGTACTTATGTAAGCGAACTTAATATATAAGAAATTATAAATATTTAATACATATTGTGAATAATGTGCAAGAGATGTGTTATTAATGAATGCTGAGTTTTGATAAACAATTTAATCTATAATGTGTTAATGTTGAACTCCAGCGAGACAAGTATCTGCACAACGATCTATTGTACAATAAATTTTTGTACATCTTTGTATTTTTTATAAATAAATAAATAATTTTTTTCAATAAAGTTCTTATTTTTTCTTCTAGTTAAAAATTTTTTTACTTACGAAGAAAGAGATTAGATTAAATTAGAGATTAGATAATACGGACGACAAAGTTAGTCGAGTCCGTATTACATTTGTGGCGTCTAATAGTTCACATACGACAAAAAATGAGCGACTTCCAACAATGATCGAGGTTGTGTTATACATAGCAGGTCACGGGTTGAAAAGTTAGGTAGTCGAGGAAACGGTTACCTATTCCCTTATCGTCTTCCTGAACGTCGGGATTGCGTGCAACCTCATGCTAATCTAAGGTGGCTATATAAACTGACCGGTCAGTGGTCGACTTTACCAGAGTTACAAACCCAGGGGGCATTATAGCGTCTTTCATCCTTTCCATATATATCTGCAATTATGGCGTATATTCGGTAATAACAAATTATCCTTCCTCGATGATAATATTTTTAAAATGCAAATGAAACGTTTCTGAAATCCTTAAGATGCATACGCGAAAAATCTCATAACTATATTTATTTAATCGAAATCTTTCCCGTTTCATAATAAAAATTTTTTAATCAAACAATAAATACAAATTATAAGTACTTATAGTAATTACTTTAAGAACTTAATATTGTTCTATATGTATCTTAAATTTCATTATTATCATTTAAATTGTTGAATTAATGCATGTTAAAGTTCACAACTGTGACCCTCAGAAATTAGGTTTGCGATATTTATCGGTATTCTTTTATCAATAAACACGCAAACTGATGTTAAAAAATTCTTTATATTAGAGAGCCGCAATTATTTAAATGCTATTATCTCACTTATCAAGAACCTAAATCATTTGAGTTACACAAAAATTATTCTTTTATCTTATATTAAAAACAGACTTTTATATACGTATAATTTATAATATAATAATTATATATAATAAATTCATAAACTGTTTTACATAATATTTCACCAAATTATCAAAATATTCAATGCAATAGAGAACCAACTCATTGTTTAAAAAGCTTAAGAAAATTAAGTTTCAAGAAAGTAATAAGAAATATTACATATTTCATCATATATTTATTATGAAATTTTTGTAAAATTATCTGCAAACTATTATTTTCATGAAATATATACTTAATTTGTAAAATTTCATAATAATTAGAGAAAGAGAGCGAGAGAGATTAAGCGATAATATATCTACATCTTTGGAAAAATTTATCTATATTTTTATAAAATTATAAGAAAAATATTTATCATTATATTATCATTTACAAGCATGGCCAATCATAATTAATTTATCTGATTAAAAAATTGTATTGGTTTTCCATAGCCGTTACTAGTTACAGGTAGTAAGTATACCTTCGGAATTGTAATGGAGGGGATAGTCGCCGATTGTGATGTACACGTGACTCGTACAGCCACATCAACGTAGGGGACGAACAGTACAACCCCTTTCACACGCGCGGCATACGCGGCCGCGTGAAGTATGCTTCTACACGAACCTCGAGAATGTTGTCTCTAGACTACTATTGTTAAATGATTATCTCCAGTGGAATTTTCGAAAAAAAGTAACAAGCACAAAAAATTAAAATCGTCGCGCGAATATAATTACTTAAGAGAAAAACAAACAGTGAAAAATATAATGTTGAAAATATCGAAACGAAGGTTAACTTATTCTCAAGGATCGTTTTTAGACGAAGAAGGAATCGCGAATTTTTTTATTTCGAAAATTTGTGCATTACTGCATTGCCAAAAGATTCACTCAACCTGTGATCTATGGGTATTCTTATAAACATGAAATATTTGACGATTTCGTGATTCTGTGTGTTCAGGTAAGTTTAGATGTTTTTAATAGCTTTTGTCTAATATCGGTTTGTGAATTAATTATTCAGTAAGTATATTGAATTATTAATAATTATAATTAATTATTTAGTAATTATAATATAATACAAAATAAATGAAAATTTATAACAAAATTTTATATTATTAATAAAACTTTATCATCAGTGTTTTATCTTTATAAGTTTCAAGCAAACATATATAATATGATACATGATATCATATTTGATTTATATTTCTCTATCGTAGTAAGATAATCATCTCAAAGTTTTTTAATTATTAATCATAATAATATTTGCAAGAATTATATTTAATATTCACATTTATCTATTATATTAATATCAATATTAATATTATTATTATTATATTTTTCTTTACTATATTTTCTTTAATATTTTTCTTTACTATATTTTCTTTTATGAGTAATTTGATGTATCATCATAAATAACATAAATTTTTTAAAATTGAAAATTAATCTTGTAATGTTACGGAGGATATTATCAAGAAGAGTTTTGGAAGGTTAATGACTCTTCTATTCATTTGCAATGAGATATCGGCATTATATATACATGATACGAAATGTCGATGTAGTCGACATATCGACATCCTTCACGTGCATTGAAACTTGGCGGCAGCGCAATATACGAAGTGATTATTTATTTACTATATATTTATAAGCAATTCGGTGAAAGTTCACGGTAGGATTTTCAATCGCGATCATGAATATCGATTTCTTTTCTCAAGTATCCAATAATGTCGACACAGCTTGCAAATACGATGAGAAAAAGGAAAAGCTTATCGATCGCTCTAGCATGGACACTGACCGGTAAAAATATGTTAGCGACACAGTATGCGTGTGGACGGGTTAGAGCCCATTTCATCGAGAGACAAACAAGACTCTTATTATGGATCTACGTGTAGAAAGATACTAAATATTTCATTAAATTCCTTATGTCTGTTATATGATAAAATATTGATGCAATGTCAAGGCACAGGACATTGACAGAAAGTATCCATTGTAAATAGGAATAAAGTAGATATAAATTATACAAGCTGAAATATAAATGTTTTCGATGGAAAAGAATTCTGTTTGAAACTTCATACATATGTATATATGTATATGTAAATAACATTTATTTATAATGTTGTAAAATGTTTTTTTAATTCTACATTATCAGTTCATCAAATTCTGCTTCTCTGATCTTGTGATAATAATGCAATTAATGCATCAATTAAAAATGTCACACATAAAAAGAGAAAAAGTTTTGCCCAAAAAATTGCTCAAGGAATGTTTTTATAAATTTTATTATCTTGAATATGAAATGAAAGAACTTTTATATTATAGTTTATATTTTGTTCATTTAAAGATAAAGAGGGAGTAAGATCTGACAAGCTATCTGATGTATAATAAAATATATCATCATACAATTTATCTGCCTACTGAAATGAATGATGTGTAGACACATTATTATTTGTAAAGAAGTAGTCGATGACCCACATTTGCACTTTTTTTAATGATCACGCATATATTATTGACACTCGTAAAAAATTCATACCTAAGTAAAATTATGCACATGAGAATTACATGTTTTATAGAGTACCTTAGAATTGTATATAGTGTAAAATTAGTTAAAAATATATATTAATATATATATATATATATATATATATATATATATATAAATGCACATAGAAGAAATTTGCAATATTGTTTTATCGTTATTTTATAATAATTTAATTTATGTAAAAATATTTATAAAATATTGAAAGGAAAAAAAAGATACTTTACATGTAATAATAATAATTCGTAATTATATATTTCCACGTTTCCATGTTTTATCACGAATCAAAACTGTGACGTTGAACAATTGATATACTGTTTTAAGACGCAACAATGAGTATTCGCGACCTCATTTTATGATCATAAAATCGATGTGTGTACGATCGTATCAAAACTCGCTATCTTTTCGCTATTAATGTCGATTACGTGCGGATTATAGAGATACAGTATTATCGATTTGCTTATTTTATATTTAACGGAAAAAGATTTTGTAAATTAAAAGTTCAACGCTCTTTAAATGCTTTATCCTCTTCTCTTGAATATTTTCATTCAATATATTATAGAAAAGCATAAAAAAAAAGAGAATTATGTTTTAGCATTTTTCTCTTTTAGAATGCCCTTAGTAGAAGCATGGTTCAAAGTGTGGGTTTATTTTGGACTCATTTACGGTTGGGGTGAAAGTCATCGACCACGCTTTGACACATCTACGGATATGGGACTGGTACTGGTTCCAGCCGATGCTGAAGTCGATTCCGTAATTTTTCGATTACGCGCTACCGATCAGGATGCGGATTATCCTCTTGTTTTCGAAATAACTGGTAATTAGAAAAAAAAATTTGCAAAAATCGTTACTTAAATCATTTTTTACAAAAACATAAAACATAATAAATTCTATATTTCGTTTAGCAACAATTACACCCGTTGTAAGAATCGACAACCTGCCGTGTACGTTGTACAACAAAGTTTGCCAAGCCAATGTAATCTTAACGAAACGACTTATACCCGGACGTCTTCACGATTTTGCAGTCAGGGTTCGGGATACCAAGGGAGACTCAAATTCAATGCAGGCTACTATTTCCGCAACGAATGCGACGACGTCGCGTGATAAAATATTTCCTCACATTCCTTCTTTAATAATGGTACCTGAGGTAATTATCGGTGTTTTATCTAATAACACTAATTAGCGCTCCAATTCAAATATAATAGACGAACTTTATTTTGCACGTTATTATCTAATTATCTATTTAATATTAGTACCAAGTCTATTATTATAGCATGTAATATTTAATTATAACATTAAAAATTAATGCAATATCTCGTTAAAAGGACACTAAACCAGGCAAGGAATTAGATTATATTCTTGTACGAGCAAATTCTTGGAGCGGCAAAACCGCTTATATTGAATTATGGGTACACATTTAATGATTATTTTGTATTTGCATATAATTATATTAACAAAACATAATGTAAAATGTAATATTGTTTTAAATCCGTTTTAGCAACCAAAAGAACTTTTTACTATTCGGCAATGGCAAACATCAACGCAAACGCGTGGAGTTATTACGTTAATAGGTGAATTGGATTTCGAAACCCAATCAATGTATACCCTCACTATTTATGCGACGGTACGCATAATTGTTTTTACGAGTGAATAGGAAATATAATATTACACATATCGATCTATGTTTCCAATTAGGATCCTTATACGGAACCTGGGAAAGACACTAGGAATATCGCAGGCTTGAATATTGTTATTATTGTTCAAGATGTACAGGACGTACCACCAATTTTTACTTTAGCACCACCTTTAACTAGGCTTAATAATTCTGTGCAAACTGTAAGTTAAATATGTTACAATTTAATTTGTTTTGATGCTAAATCGATCAGATCATAAAAATGATAGATTAAATAGAAAAATATCATATAATTTTGTGTGAATTATCATTATATTTTCCTATAAAAATTAATGAAATTTTTCTAAGCCAAACTTGTATAATTTCTTGTATAATTGTATAATTTCTAGGGAGACGTAATATTACGTGTTCACGCGGAAGATGGAGATAAAGGGGTGCCGCGTGAAATTACATATGGCTTGGTATCCGAAGGCAATCCTTTCATACCATTTTTTAACATCACAGAAATGACTGGTAAGAAATGTGTTAAGTATTTAACTAATATTAGTTTGCACGCGCTGAGATTATTTCAAGAAGTTGATTATTTCAAGTTGAGAGAATTAAAAAAAATTATTCTTCGACCATCGATTTATATATATGTTATGAATCGGGCGTGATAAAGGATTAAAAGATTTTTATTGCGCACAAATGCAAACTAAAAATGTACTGTGTAATTAATTTACTCGAGTTGAGTCATCGTTAATTCTCTAATTTATCGCACGTCACGCGTTATTTCTCTGACAGTTTCGATCCCGGGAAAAAGTAACGACGGCGTTGATTCATATTCTCCTTTACTATTCAAAGCTGACCTCATTCTGCGAAAAGCACCGGACAATGATTAAGCATAGAAATTTGTTTGCCATCCCGACGCTGCCGATCTCTCATTTCTTGATATTGAAACGATTTTTCTACGTATAAAATTCACATTCGTAGAAAAAATCACATATATATATGATTGTATGATTCCCACATTTTCTAAAATAAATAAGTAGGTTCAAATAAAAATTATTTTACTATACTAAAATTATACAATATATATAAAAATTTTAAAGATAAATTTTAAAATATACAAATTATAAACTATACAGAATATAATCTAGAGATTTATGTATTGAAGTGTATTATAAACTGAAACGTGTTATCTTCGGTAGACATATAACATTTTGTTAAAAATATAATTAACGCGTATTTTGTGGAGTAAAATTAATAAAATTTTCTTTTTAAATAAGCAACCCACGCATCTATTTTCAAGTTTATGCGAACATATAAATATTAATGAAATCCTTGTTATCTGTGAATATTGAAATATCAGATTTTTTTTCGTAAAAGTTCAAATAAATCAGGCAAGAACGCGAAAAATTGGCGAATAGTAAACAGAAGGCGCTAAAGGTGGTCGGAATAAGTCTGGACAGTCTACGGCCAAGTATCGATCGTTCTTAGGGGTCAGTCTCTGCTTTTCAACTTGCGATGCTTATCATTCCATGGCAAGGAGCATGCGATACGTACTATGGGTCCTTGCGTGTGTAGGAGTTCCACCTACATTTAACGATATATACATCCATCTATCGCTACGAAGGATTTCTTACGTCGATTCCACCAACACATTATGTAAAATTATTGCCGGTCAGCGTGCGTGTACAAGTCAAGACGAAGAAATAACAAGGATAAGAGAATTCACGCGTTCATTATCCGTGATGTTTTATTCATAGTAAAAATAATTCAGATAGCCTCTGCTACAGTGTTCTCCAAGAAATAACAAATCATCCCATGTAAAAATATATCTTTCTTTTGAAAGGAAAATTTATTAATTATTAATAGATATTACAAATTTTGCAATGTTTAGGTGAGATTATTCTCGCTAGGCCTTTAGAGGAACTCATGCAAATCACTCACGTTGGTGCGCCGGTCGTGCTCACTGTGGTAGCTGAGGAAATACGAAAATCTAGGGACGAGCCGCCAGCTCAGGCGACAGTCGTTGAAGTCGGATTTCTTCTTGGAGAACCAGGCAACAATCCGCCATATTTCGAAAGTGATAAGTTGGTACCGAATGATTTTAATAACGAGCACGAAAAAGTCAGAATAATATTTTTTTTCATGAATTTTTTATCTAACAAATAAAATGGTTATTTTTCATATTGTCTTTTTATAAATTATTGGTATTATTATATCTTTCTAACGTTTATAATTCTAAGCTAAACCCATGTAATAATGCTTATATTATTTATTAATCTTTTATTAACAAATATCTTATTATACTACATACACATATTTATGATGTTTATTTATACTTAACGTATGAATATTACTTTCTAACTTTATAGCTACATTACATCAATACCAGAAAATTTGGAGCCAGGTTCCGTAATAATATTTCCTGAGCAATACTCGACTAAAATCCGCGATGAAGATATTGGCAAAGCTGGGGTGTTTGCGTTAAAATTACGAAATAATAATGGTACTTTCGAGATAAATCCAACTGTTGCTGAACGTACAGCAGATTTTACTCTCACAGTACGAGACAATACACTTATCGATTATGAGATGTACAAAAGTTTATCCTTTAAGGTATGTATTTCTAATATAAAAATTTGGATTTTTATTACATAAAAGTAATTAAATAATTATTTATTTTTTTCAATAAATAAATAATAAACAATGTTGTCTGATTTATATGTTTTTTTAAATATAAATATATTATGTATGATATAGATTGTTGCTCAAGAGGTTGGTCCAGCGACAAATCTATCAGCAACAGCAGCGGTTGTGATATTTATAGAAGATGTTAACGATAATTCACCGATATTCGACGAAGAATCTTATGAAGTTACATTATCAGAAAACGTCACCGTTGAAACACGAGTTATCCAAGTAATTTTTATATCATTTTCCTTTAATAAATCCAATACCGAATATTTTTTTTTCTAAAATTACCATTGTTTCGATATATACTCATAAATCGTTAACTAATTAATTGTAACGAATAACAGAATGATGGTGGCATGCCTGTGAACAATATTATTATACTATACAAGAAATGAGTCAGTTAATTTATTGTTAAGATATTTATAAAATATTTAATTTATTATACCATTAAATAACTATATGTCATATATATATATATATATATATATATATATTGTTTTTTTATCAAATATTTTATCAAATTATTTTAGATAAACAAACCGCTTATTTTAAATTTAATGTTTATTTAAAGAATTAAATTTATTTTCTAATTAAAAAAATATTATATATAAGATGTTTTTAATAAGAAAACAGAATATCGTAATTTTCTTATATTGTTATATATAAATAAATTTCATATTTGCATATGTGTAAATATATGTGCTTTTATATGTTTATCTTATATTATCTATATTATTAATAAGAATTTATTTACTGTCGTGTTTACTTTGAAAAAAAGAATCGCATTTTTATTGACACACAGGTGCATGCAACTGATAAAGATACCGGTCTCTTTGGCAGCATTCAATATACAGATATAATCGGAGAAGGAAGCGACGCTTTCACGATAGACTCCGATACAGGTTTGATCACAGTTTCGATGGGATCGATTCTAGATCGCGAAATGGCAGCACAACTGCAATTAACTATACATGCGCGCGACGAGAACGGTAAAGGTAACACGGGTGTAGCATCTTTAATAGTGAATTTACTGGACGTAAATGATAATGCACCGATTTTCGAGAAAAATGCCTACGAATTTATATTAAATTCCGATTTATCGAATTTCACAACACCAGCCATCATAAAGGTAAGCTTTGATTTTAGATTTTTATTTGGATTACATTGATTTACAATCCTAGTGCTTTCAATATTGATATTTTTAATATTTTTCTATCATTTTATTTGATGTGCATAGGCTACCGATGCCGACGCCGAACCACCGAACAATGAAATTCGTTACGAATTGATTCATGGAAATTATGAAAATAAATTTTATCTAAATGAAATCACTGGAGAATTAATATTACGTTCGCCCATCACAAAGTTTAGACGAAAAAAACAAAGCAACAATTATGACAAATTTTCCAAAAAATTACACAAAGAATTTTTTCAATCGGAACACACTATACGGGAAAGTGTATCGAAAACAGCAATGTTCTCTACAGATACAATAAATTCAACCGAAAGTATTCTAAACGAAACCGGATTGAAACATAAAGTTGACGAAATAAAAATATATCGAAGAAAACGAGCGGACACTGATATTCTATACACTTTAACTGCCAGAGCATATGATCTTGGTAAATATATTTATAAAAATATAACTTTTATATGGCACAATAAAAATAAATTTTAAACTAGGATTAGTTTAATGTAACCAAGTGGAAAATGTATTTCTTTATTTCTTCATGATATTTTTAGGTGTACCTCATCTATCGAGCGAGACAGAGATTTCGATCGTCAGAGGATCTGCCATGGAAGCTCGCATAATGATGTTCGTAGTGCCAGGAGAACATCCAAATTTAACGAGGACTGCTGAGACATTAGCCACTATTACTGGTGGACGAATTACCGTATTGGACACACGTCCTTACGTGCCGAATAATAAATCAGGCGTTACAGACAATGCTGTACCAATGGAAGGAAAAAGGTTGATAGAAATTCATAAAATCATCTGATTTTCTGACAGACATTGTTAACAAGAAGCATATAAATTTAAACATTTGAAGAAAAGTATTTAACTCTGCTAAAAATAACGAAATCTTTAATTAGCATTGATGAGTTTATTAATTGAGATCAGAAATCCTTCATATTTATATTTCATTATCTGTTGCTAGAACGATCGTGATAGCTCGCGTCGAGCAAACCGAAGTCGGCACACCCCTGGTGGATGTAGAAAGAATTCGTAATACGTTAGCTGCGAATGGGGTGGGAATTATCGGCGGCACAGGCACTACCAATGTATCTATAACGTATAACGACGGGACTACCACGAAACTGCCAATCGATGGGGTAATTCACAAAGGGGGAGATACACAGACCTACGTAAACAAAACAATCACCAACGTTCACGAGGAAGTAGTGAGTTAATTAATCCATATTTGTTTCAATCTCATCGCGCGTATTTCATTCGTCTCGATATTCTTTCTAATTTAGCACCAATTTAACATCTTGTAAAATATCGTTGAACAGATTTTTATTAAAATAAATCATATTTTTTTCTAATTTTGTTGGCAATCTTTTAGAGAAATGAGAGATCAGAGTTCTTTTTCAGACTGTGTATAAAGCGGAGAATAAATTGCTATTTTGGTTACTGATTATTCTGGGCCTACTGATGCTCTTGGCAATTGCAGCGCTCATTATCTGCTGCATCTGTCCAGGTTGTCCATTTTACATGGCACCTAGAAAGCGCAGGGTATACTCGTCGGAAACGCTTATCACTCGATCTAACGGTCGACCGAAACGGCATCTTCATCGGAAACCAATGGCTACAATCGATAGTAATTATCCCTACACAATTATATGATAAAAACGCTTAAATATATTTCTCTCGAGGCAGTTTTTGCAATTGATGTTTCAATTGCATGGAATTATTTAACGCATATTTTGTAATTTATGAAGCTATCGCTATTTATATAAAAGATATTTTAACTTATTAAAAGAGTAATAATATATACAAATATGCAGTTACTTCAAACGGAAAAAAGCAAGCTTGGAGTGCAGATCCAGCTCGAAGAAACTGGCAATTTAACCGTCGGAACACCAAGAATGGTGGTTTAGCATCGCTTCCCGGTGACGTCGTGTATATTTCGGAGCATCCTCCCATTGATCAAGCGAACGTAGAGTCATTGAGGCTACGTGATGGCCCGGCATATGATCCTTCGAGAAGGAGAAGGATTGACGAGCAGGAGAGAATGTATATGGAGGATGTCGAGGAAAGGAAGGCTAGAGATTACGCCACAGATGTGGAGTCTTCACATCGACATGAAATCGAAGCTGGTGCGGATACTTTGCATCAAGCTTATAGAGAAAGGTGGATAGAATATATGCTCATTAATAACAATTTTACAATAATTTTTAATAATTTCTAAATGATAAAGTTTCTCCTGCACAACAAAATTAAATAATTATAAAAAGAAAAAAAATATTTATATACTTTTCTATATATTTTTCTTCTATAAATTTAAAAAAGTTATAGTTGTGGCATTAATATTGTCTTTTATATAGTAATCTGATTTATTTAAATATAACTTTAATCAAAATTTTTTGTATTATTTAAAATAATTATTATTAAAATTAAATTATTGTTAAAAATGTTTCTCTCCTTTTTTAAAACTTCTTTCTAAAATTTCCATGGAAATTTGAAACACATTCTTATAGTAAAATTTTTCTTTTAATTGACAAGATAGAATTATTTCCTTTTTGAATTCCATTACAGATATATCGATCCTGAATCAAACAACGAGCAGACGGTAAGAGAGCAACATTTTTACCGCGAGGGAAACGCAGAAGTGTTGCAACTAGTAACGCGGGGACAAGTAGAGGATACGAGTCAACATCATTATCCGACGACTTTTATAGTAGACGGCAAAGATGTACTTCTGCAACGCTTTATGCAAGATCAGAAAACGCGACAAGAGCTGTCAATGCAAGAACCCGAAGTACTGCGCACGGTCGAGTCTCATCAACACCCGAGAAATTTATATCAACACAAGCAGGAGATTCTTCTCTTGCCGGAAGAATTGGAAGTTGTTAGACGTCGACGAGCAGAGGAATTAGATTCTAACGCGCAAAAACTGGCGATGGATGATGGATATACAACTCAAAAAATGGATCTAGAATCACAAATGCGAGACGTTCATCGTCAAGAGATCTCAATAAATATACCCGGGATATCGGATAAAACGTCAGTCCCTCTCAAGGATCAAACGATGCAATCTACAACGATGCAACCGTATGCATTTCATGATCTAGAGCTAGCGAGACAGAACGTCTTGCTGACGCGATTACTTTTAGAGAGAGAATCCAGGCATGCTGGCGGCATCACGATGGATGCCGTGAGTTACTTAGAGACCCAAAGTCTTCCTGGACAAGCAGTCATCGCCACACAGACTGACAGAGTCGCTGCAACTCAAACGGAACGACATATCCGAAGCAGAAGCGACAACGATGAATCTGACGAAGATACTCGAAAAAACCGAAAAAAGATGAAGTCGAAGAAACGCTACGATGAGGACAAATTGAAGAGAACGCGAATTTTATGGATGAAATCGCCTATCGAAGAAGAGGAGAGCCCGTGCTTCGACAAACGACTGAACATCTTGAGAAAGAAAGTAAAAGAAGTAAAAGAGGGACGAAAGGTATCCTTGCAGCCGGGAGTATTGCGAGAAATATCAGATTCTCTCGACGAGAACGGAAGCATTTATCGCAAGAGAGAAGAGAAGTTGCCGGAAACTTGTCAACAGCCCATTGAAGAAACTGGCGTCGCATATAAAATATTGTGCGAAGAAAAAAATGGCTCCTCCTCGTCTATAGAAGTAAATAGACAACAAGATGAGAAAACTTTCGATGAGAAAAGAACAGAGAGCCTGTCATCACCAGAAATAAGTGTCGATAATAGAAAATATATCCATCACACCATGGAGAAAAAGAGTTCGAGAAAAGAAAGCAAAATAAAAAAACAAAAAAAGATAGAATCCGTGATAAAACCTAGTTTTCGAGTTTTAGAAAAAGAAATTACAATGTTGACAAAGAAACTAAGTAAACTCGCTGATAAAAAGGTACAAGAAGCCGCAGGCGACGAAAGTACGAGTCAGGAAAAATCAAAGACATCGGAAGACTCCAAAAAAGATTTGGATCATAAGAAGAAAATAGATGATTCAAAAAAACGCAAACAGTCTGAAATTTCTCCAGTAAAACAAGAGACGAAAACTGAAAAATTTATTTATCATCAACCACAGATTATGAGTCCTGGCAGTACCGAATACGAAGATCCATTCGAAAAACCGATGAAATCGAAAGCGGAATCTCGTCAAAAAGTTGCAAAGCATAAACAAACAAGTAGCCATGTGAGAGCAAAAAAACAGACGCAGAAAGAACGCAAAAAACAAATCGTACAGGATCCAGAGCTCGAAAAACGCAAGGATGCCGCAAGTAAGGAAAGCAGCAGATCAAAAATCGAGAAGGCTGCTAAATTATCATCACGTACGTATAAATTAGCAGCCATTGGCCGTAAAAAGCATGTTTCGGAGGAACTCAGCACGAGTACAAGTTCCGATCGAATAAACGGTAAAAAGGATTCATTCGTTAGTCGAGATCCTGACAAGAGAAGCGCAGGATCTTCAGAGATTTCATCGAATCACGTGGATCAACGAAAATCAAAACAAAAACTAGATCATGTGAGTGAAAGATTCTCTGACGATTTTGTAACAGAACCACAGAGGAGAGACATCGATCAACAAATTGCGTTTCATTCAACGATGGATATAAGCACACATGAAAAGGACACTACAAGCGATAAAAAAGACATCAAAATAATACAATTTTCAGATGATTTTACAACGGAAACACAAACGAAAGACATGGAACATCAAACTGCTATTGAAAGTGAAATTGGACACAGTGCATCTTCCGATATTGACAAAGATCATGTAACATTGAAAGAAATCGTCGAAGATATCACATTTATTCAAGATCTAAAATATACACAACTAGATAGTGATATTATATTAGATGCAAAGAAACAACAATTTGAAACGTCTGATATAGAAGATTTGGATGACAGCAAAAAGAGTACGATGCCTTTAGATTCTTCTGCCTCAGAAACATTAAAAGAACAACAAATAGAGAAGCCTTCACATATTGATAAAAGTGATATCGAAGAAAAAATAGCTTACGTGACTGAAAGACATGAGAAAGAAGCAGAAAAATCTTTGCATGAAATTGAAAGAGAAATGTTAGAAAAAGAAAAAATTACGGTAGAAAATGATACAAATGAATTAAAGATGTTAGAAGATACCGAAAAAGCTACGAAGAAGGAAGATACATCGGAACAATATATAAAAGATGCGAAAGTATCGAGTGATGTAATAGAGCATCACGTAGAACAAATAGAAGAATATAAGAAAGACGAATTGTATAGCGACACTATCGCACCATTATCGAAAATGGAAAAAGATTTAAAAGATATTAAAGATGTTACACATCCAAAAGAAGAAGAGAAAACTGTATGTGAACATGAAAATGATCAAAAAGAAGAATTAAGTCATGAGCCTATAAAAGAACAGAGTGAAGAGAAAATGCCTTTAGCAGAAATTACAAGCGATACTGAACAAAAAATGAAAAAATTAATACCGAAAGAGAATGGAAAAGATTCATCACATGAAATTAAAAGTGATGAGAAAATGAAAATTATAAAATCAGATACTGAGGAATATCAAAGTGTTGTGGAGAAATCGGAAGAAATTCCACAAGAACATACGACTCAAGATTCAGAGAGAATAGGTAAAGATATAGAACCAACTGAAACATTTGAAAAATCATTCGATGTTAAACAATCATCTCAATATGATTCCGTAAATTTAACTGATATTCCCTGCGCATTTTCAATTGATGATAAAACATTAAAGTATATTGACGAGTCTACTAGTCAAGAGGATGATTTAAGTCAATCTGAATCTGGTGAAATAACATGTATTGTAAAGGAAGACACCGAGATGGACAAACTGAAGCACTTTGATGACGATCTTAAAGCAAAGACAGAGATTAAACGCCAAGAAATTGAAAAAGAATCGCATGGACTCTCTCAAGAAATATCCACTTTGCAAGAAATAAAATTAAAAAAAACTATTGAAGACGAGTCTCCCACATCTTTAACAAAATTAACTACTTCCAAAGAGGAAATTACAGCTGAAGAACAATTACAAATTGAATCTGCAAAAGGAAAAGAAAAATCATTTCTCGAACAATATGAAGAAAAAGCGGAAGAAATCTCTGCAGTAAAGGAGAGACCTGATGAAGAAATAAAAAAGGTACTTGATAAAGAACTTTCTACTGATCAATTGCCGAAAGATACGGATCTAGAAAAGTCAACTGCCAGTAAATCAGAAAAATTGGATAAATCTGCGACAGCTACCGAGAATATAGACGTTGCAGAATCACGAGGCAATGGAGAGCACCAAACAGACGTAAGCGTTCCAATTTTTAGAAGCTTAATTGATGATACAATCGATGTTTCGGAGGAGAGCGACTCATCCAGTGATATTTCCAGGAAAACAACGCTGACCATGAGACCCTATGATACTCCGCGCCATCGGCAAAAGTGGCAACAACAGGAAAGCCTTGAAATAGCCGGTATGTCTGAAATAAGAACTTTTAAAGATGGAGAAGATGCAAGAATGGAAACAGAAGAAGAGGATACAGGCAGTAACGTATCGCTCGATGAAATTGAAAATGTAGAAGATTCGATCGCGACGATCAGTGACTCACAGGAAGATAAAGAGGTAACGATCAGTGAATCACAGGAAGATAATAAGAATAAAAAGGATAGAAATATTGAGATTACTACTACATCCGACAAAATTTCTTTCAACGGTGAAAAAATTTTACCCGTATATGATTTGGAAAAAGTAAATGAGAATAAAATGGACAAAAATATTGAGTCAAGGTTTGAAGAATCGGAAGCTAATATAAAATCAGATATAAAAGATTTATTAACAACAATTCAAGATAAGGTTCTTTTAACTATAAGTGTTAAAGAATTAAACGACACGTTAAAAGAAAATGTTAAAGATGAAATCGTTCCGATAACAAAAGAAGATGAGGAATGTAAAAGTGAGATTGCTACACCTCTTAAAAAGATTGAAAAAGTTTTACAACAAAATGGCAAAAGTGAAATTAGATCGTCTTTGAAGCAAACCGAGCAAATAGATTTTACAGAAGATAGAAGAAGAGCCGAAGATACCAAAGTAAATAAAACAAGAGAAAAAAGTTCTCTGGATAAAATCAAAACTAAAGACATCGAAGTAGACAAAATAAAAAATAAAGACAGTAAAAGCGGCACTTTGGAAAAGTATGCTGGAAAAACGGAACTTTTCGAAGACTCTGCGAAGAAAAAAAGGAAACCTGAGCGACCGAAGATGCCTTCGCCCGGAGAGAGAAAACGCATTCTTGACGAAAAGACAAAAGAAAAAGCTACACCAAGTCATTCTCATCATCGATCTCGTAAATCCATCGATTCAGAAAAGAAATTTAGAGATGACGGATCGCAGAAACAACCATCACGAAGCGAAGAGGAGCATCTGCAAAAACAAGCGTTGCCTTCAAAATCCAAATTCAAGAAGGACAAGAAATCTACAATTCCCCCGAAAACTGGTGAGATCGACACGAGTAAAACGCAATCGAAATACATGGCCTGGTATAATAAGAAACGCGACGAGGCCGAGAAGAAGAGACTGGAAAAGAAGACGGAAGACGAGGACCAGTTACCGCGTTGGGTAAGTAGAGGTTTGAAACAAACAGCGAAGCAAAAAGAAAAGAAAGACATAGAACACAAGACTCCAGAGATGACTCCGCGTACGAGACGCAAGATTAAGCCTTTAATAAACGTCGAGTCCGAGCAGCTGAAGGCCATCGTGCGCCAAGGACGACGCTTAAGAAAAGCCGAGGGTAATCTCGAGGAGGATCCGCCGATCCAGATATTCGCCCGAACACCGCCGATTTCTACGGACACCCAGCATCGTTTGCTGCAACACTCGGAGTATAAATATGAGAGGATACCGCCGCCCTTTTACCTTCATCCACCCCCGCCAGCGCCGCATCCATCGCCGCAACTATCGCCGGAGATATCCCTTGAAACACAACCATCCACATCGCAATATGAGCAACCTGAAGAGCTGCGTTCGGAGAGCATCGTTGCACCGGTCCAAAGTGGCACTCGTCTACGTCATCAACAGCTTCTTGAAAAAAAAAGCGTTTTCGATATTGCATACAGTGAAGCCGCGCCATCGCAACTCCGATCCGACAGTGCAACTCCACCGTCTTAATTCTCTTGAACCTGTGAACATTAATATTATTATTTTTTTCATACATAAAAAGATATATATATGTATAAAATAATTATACATGCAATATAGTATATATAATTATTTATTTGTGTAACAATTATATACAGAATTATTTCTCAATCTTTGATCGCGCAATTAGGATTAAAGTTAACATTTTATATATACATATTTCTATATGTGATGTGCAGAATATAGCAAAATTATGTGTCTTGTACATATATTTTATAGCATCTGTTTTTTAAATATTTTTTGATTACTTCGTTGTTGCAAATTCAAAAATGTTTCGTATGAACAATACTTACGATTATTTAATAATCATAAAAAGTAATCGTCATAATCTTTTTTAACCTCGAGGTTTATAGTATATAAAATATTTCCTGCAAAGAGCAAGAAATATATTTAACTGTTCGTAGCATAGTATAGTTTATTTACGTTACTGCCAATAAATAATAATATCAATGTATCTTTAAGTAAATGCAATACAAATTAGAGCAATCAATTTTATATATTATTACTTCATTATAATAATGTTTATATAATATATGAATTCTTGTAAATAGATATATGTATAAAAATAAAATATTCTATGTAATTAATATCCTTCCTTAATTTTGTTTTCTTTGTTTCTCGATAATTTAAAATAAAATTAGAGTATCTAACTTTTTCTCATAGCTTAGTTTTCATTTCATATTCAGATATATTTAAAATATTATCAAATCCAAGAGATGTATACACACAGTATAAAGTTTGCATAAATTTTTCTCTAAAATTGCCAACAAAATAGCATTGTTTAAAGAAAACTTGATATTCCTCTCTGAATAAATCATAAAGAACGTGGCTGTAGAATTTAGCAATTTAAAAATCGATTTGCATTCTTTCGCATCAACATTCTAACAAAAATTTCTATCATTTAACTAAACTCGTGTGTGCGAGATATATCGTCGCGACGCCACTGACATTGCAATATCATATGCATAGATATCAGGTAAAGTCTAGCTTCTGCCACTTCTGTTTTGCTGCTACAAAAATATCCTTCATGTCGACTTTACCAACTCGCTATCTTTTGCCAACCAATTTATCTGCACTCGATGTGTTGACTGCAATGAATATACAATCAGCCATTATCAGCGGAATAACGAGTCGACGTAATAACATTCTTCATTATCTAACTGCAATATCACAAAAAAGATAATTAAATATCATTATCATCATCAGACAATATTAACATCATTCAGAATATTAAGAAAAATATTCTGTTACATTAAATCTTACAAAATATTTCCAAATTTATTATATAATTTAACATATTGAAGAGAAAGATATAGGATTCTCTTGAGTAATCAAAAAATATTTCATATAATCTTAATTTAATTGCAATATTATATTATATGTATTATATATTACATTATATTATATTTTATACTGTACAAGATAAAAGGAAATTGAAACACAAGAGAAAAGAAGCAATTGCATTATGCATTTTTGAATTTTCTGACACCGGAAAAAAATAATGTTAAATCAACAACATCAATGTAATTGGAATTTATTTTATTAATTCAGTAATATTATCAGTCAAATCAATATGCCACGTATTGATTTGATTAATAATATTATTGAGTTGATAAAATAAATTTCAATTATATTAATATCTTAATATTTTTTGAGTTGAAATTTTACATTTTTGCAATATCAGCTGTTATTAATTATTAATTAACTTTATACTGGAACTAAATAGAATAAGAGAAAGGCTATCTTTTCGTTTTACGAATGATGATAAACGCGTATCAAGCATTTTCCATTATTGCGTGCATCGAGGAACGGCGTTACCGATGACGTGCATGTTCCCACGCAACGCGAATGATTACGTGTTTCGCCGGCTTTGACGTGCTGCTGACGACAAAGATGACGTTACCGATGCAACTAACCTACCGTAATCGAAAACATAATGGTGCATCAAACATAACCGGAGACTGGTAAATCTTTGGATCGGGATAACACGATCGACAAGTTGGTCGCGCCGCTTGTTCTTGCAGTCTCGAGACTCGAGGTCGCCCCCACCCATCGCCCAGTGAGCGTCTCGTATCTTGCTACAACGTATACTCGCCTGCTACCCGCGAACCTTATCAGTCGGCCGTTCGCGACACATTCGGTCCCGCCATTCGCAAACTCGCCATGAATTGACAGTTGGTCGTTCATACGGTAAGCAGGCAGATTTTTAAAAGGCCTGCCCCGTTCATTCATTACCGCGACGAGATGGAGAATCAGCTTGGCCTAAGAGAGAAAAGAAATTATCTTGTTGATTACCAATGAAAAAAATATATTATAAAATGTATTATTGTTTATGAATTATTTTTTATTTATTGTCTATTGTATTATTAAACAATTGTATTATTAAGATATCTTTTAAACAATAATAAGAAACTTCCAAAATTAAATACATTTCTAAAGGAATTATCAATATTCATAGACACTTTTTATAAAATAGGAATTTACTTAAGAGAAAGCGAATTAGTATATATCGAAAAAAATATATAATGTTATAAATAATATAAATAAATATATTAAAATATTTATTTCTCTTAACATTTTGTTAATTATTAGTTTCATTCTCAATTTACTGTAATTCAATGTAGTTTCTATTGTTGTGTAATATTTATTGTTATACGCCATATCAGAAATGATTTATGTGCTACACGATCATTATTTTGCAATGAAAATATTATACTTTATCGCTATAACAATCTTGCAAATTTTCATCAAGATCACGTCTGATTTCCTCGATGCCACTTGATCATAACCGCGTCAGAGCAGAATAGAATGACGCTATTTCAGCTGCGACAGACGAGCGATGTTACGCGTTGTCGACAAAAGATATCTTCGTATGAACAATAGACTAAATGTTAATTGTTGTTAATAAAGAGTCATGTATGTTGCTGTTGCAACGGCGAGCAGAGCCGCGGAAGAGGCTGCACCTGTACCAGCCGTGCGCAAACACACCTGAAACCTTTGACCTTTTCATCGATTCGCTCGCTTCTCTTGTTGGCGAGCATCGATCTCCCTTTCATCCTCCCCTTCAAACCCTTCGTCAACTGTAATTCCATCGAGTACCGCTGCTGCACCGAACGCAACGATGTTTCTGAAAGCGAAGCCGCAATCGATGCACTTTAATTTGATTACTCCAAGAGAAATACACAACGATCGTGCAATTCAGCTTTTAAGCTTCCGAATACGAGCGGAAGGAAATACATATTGAATTCCACTGGAATGGAATAACATCGATATACACAAGAATTAAAATTTAAAATTAAATTACTACAACAATCTCTGTAATTAATTTGTATTAAATAATTTATAATGTTATAAAGGTACTATCATCTTCATATTACACTGTCCATTTCGAACACGCATATTCAGTTGATTTTGATTTTTATCGATGTGATTTGATATATTTTTTTTTGTTTGCTGTAAAAAATATTTTAAATCGACATTATTTCTGAAAAATTATTTCACATTTTTGCTATCGCGATATTCTGACGGGTACTCGTGAATGTTGGTCCAGCCCTGGAGTCACGCTACGCACACTATTTTCACTTTAATTACGATCCCAAATATAGCATGTGAGTTTGTATATCGTGTGCCGTGAAAAAGTTCGGCGCGTGTACATAAGCGGAACGGGTTTAGCCCGGTCCTTAATAGCCATCAATCATTGCCAAAATTCGGCAACGTGTCGGACAACACGGGCGGCAGGATACCATCACCAAAGTAGAGTTCTCCGGGACCAAAAGGACGAGGGGAGCACGGGAACAGGGGAAGGGACCGAGTGAGACATGGAACCCGTTCGATACTTCCGAAAACTCGGCCCGACCATTCCGATTATGTTCACATGAATTCATCGTATCACCAACACAAACTCGAGTCCACTCGAATATAAGCAGTAACATAAAGCGATCAAGAAGGAGGGAGCGCGAGCGGAATGAATATAAAATACGTAGAAACTTGTTCATTCTCCGTGTAATAAACTTTAAAACTATGATAAGAAAAATAATATATCTCTTTCTAATTGTCAAAGTTGGCAAACGAGAAAGTTTCCTCGCGTATAAAAATGAATTTTTAAAACTCATTAACCCAGGAAAATTGACTCTAAAGATTGATGAAGCTTTCCTTTTTCTTCTTTAAATAAATAATAAATTAAATGTATAATTTTATTACGTTTGATTTATACTTTTCGAGATTACATTTCTAATTTTAACGTTCTCTGATTAAAGCGAGGTGTATTTATGGATTAAAAACTGGCGTTTGATATCTCGATCGTTTTTCTTGACCGTTCGTTTATCGAAGATAAATATAGATTGAAAGTGGATAAAAAGTACTCACGGATACGCCAACACTATATATTTCAATTAAATTAAGAGCGAAACGCGTCCTCGTATCCGATGCAACGACTGATGCAATTGACGCGATACTGTCGGCGACCAGGAAGCGAGCGAGTTTAAGGTCCGAAGATTAACCAGAGAGTCAGGGAAACCGGCAACTTCACTTCCGGTGGCGGCTCGAGGGAGCGTGTAATTTGATATCGAGTTTCACGCTCGTCTTTCTCTCTATGTCCGGCGAGAATCTATATCCGGACATCAAAGCGCTTGCGAACTTGCCGCCCGGGCCACGGGAAAAGTTTGCGCGGACACTTAATTGAAGAGTGTATCCGGATGCGCGCTGCAAATGCTATTTGCATTTCAAACGAACCGGTCTAATGACACGTCTCAGTGACATTTATTTGCTTGCATAAATCATGCCCGGAGCGGGAGGGGGACCGAGATGCGCGCGTTGCAAGAAACGCCGAGAAACGGTTCCGGAACTTTGGGCATAAGTACAAGGTGGCTGTACGTGCGGGACGAAAATTAATTCTATGCGTGAACACAGCACGAATGCATCCGTTCTCGTATGCGTAGAAAATTATTATACGTGGAGAGAGAGGAGGAAATTGCAAGGAATTGATATTTCCATATCGCAGGCCTGTTCAATCTGTACTAAAGTGTAATCGACACTTTTATTCAGTTTCCAAGATGGAAAGCTTATTGCATCAAAAACAAACAAGTACTAGTGCTGTACAATTTATTTTTTTTTTAACCTTACAAAAGTTTTTTGCACTCTTCTCCTATTTTCATATGATAGTTATACTTGCATATTATCTGTTAAAAGTTGAAAATTAATTGATTAATGTGTGATGTGTATAACAGCTAATCTTATTGAATCTTTCATTTCACTGCATGTTCTTTAGCTAAATATCACCTCATGATCAGTTAAGAATTATACCGCGATTCATCAGTCGATCGAGATCCATGAGTTGGATAGGCTTGTCATATATATCGCAAATTGACAAATTATTTAATATATTATTCATATTTATATCGATGAGCTGTTAACGTCTACGCATGCTTACGACAAAATTTTATCGTACATACATATATATTATAGTTTCAAAGTTGATCGAATTCACGATCACCATAAAAGTCATTCAAAGTTGGTCGCATTCACGACCACCATAAAAGTCATTCAAAATTGATCGCATTCACGATCATCGTAAAAGTCTCTGTTCGATTTTTCCACGTTAAAAATTTAGCAACTTTAAAAATTCTTCACTTGGATGCTTTCCAACAGCCAGTCGGTTCGATAAACGTAATATTTTTAAAGTGCATCCTTGGAGGATTTCACGCGTTGTTAATTGAAATATTAAATTAATACAACAATATATCATACTGTTTTCTGATAATGCATTTATAGAATTTATATGTTATTATAACGCGTGTTATAATAGTCGGATAATATGAATAATAATGCAAGCTAGCTAATAATCGTCAAGATTCGAAAAATCTTACATGCAAGTCCTTTATCGCTACACATGGCGAGTCGACGTTTATCTTTCGTGACGAAATAAATAAATATAAATATTTTTCACTCGAATTTAGAAGCTTTTATCTCTTTTGTTTGTCGATGACAAGCTTACATAATCCAACGATAAAGCTGCATCGCGCCGATATCTTGGCCGGACCGTGTATGTATGTACATATATGTACATGCGCGATTCTCAGGTCGTCTGACGTAACGTACGTAATTGTCCGGTGTACATGTATCCGGGGAATATGCGAAACAAGAGTCGAATACTCCAAGCGTACTTGCGCGTAACCATTGTATCTTTTTTGCGCGAATGCATTGGAGCTGGACATAAGATTTCACTCGAATTTTTTTAAATTTTTGGCCTTTTCCTCCTCTCTTTCTTTTTCTCTCTTAGACATGAATCGAAAGAGTAACGATGATCAGACAGAGATCAAGAGAAAAGACATGACATCTTTGGAATATTACATCTCGTTCTTACTTTTAATACTTGGATATGCCCGAATTTGGTCCGTCGACTCATTTCCGTTATGTAAAGTGGTGCTTTCAATCGGAGCAACGAGTATCTTTATTTTGGGAAATTCTCTGCTTTTACTCTCGGAAATTGTGGAACTTATAATGACAAACGAGCTAAAATTATTTGCCAATCTCGTCGGAGTAATCTGCTTGCATCTGATAGGTTTAATAAAATGGTGCTACTGTATAAAAGAAAATCGCCAAATCATCGATATTGCGATGAAATTGGAAAAATGCCACATACTTTGCCAACAAATCGATAACAGCGAAGAAGGTACATAATTATTATGCATATTTAATTTATTTCTATCCGAATGTAAAATTTTTTAAATATTACTGAAAATGTTAAACATATGAGGACAGAAAGGATCATATTATTAATTATATTACAAGTATATTGCACATGATTTTGATATGTTTCCAAAGTGTTTATAAATATTCTTGAAATAATTTTCTATGATTAGAGAATTCGAATTGCGTGTTTCAATTACATATTTTTTGCAAGTCAATCCTTTATTTGTATGCACTAAAAAAATTTTTTTATCAGGATATCGAATATATAAGAACGAAATGGAATACGCACATCGATATTCCAATTATTTCATATACGGATGGGTATGTGCGTGTGTTTATGGTGTTTTACATTGGTGTGCCAATCCATTTCTTCTAGGAACTTGGGCATTAGAGCAGATGAATTCGGCAAATCATACATTTATCAAAAGAAATTTGCCGTTTATCGGATGGTATCCTTTTAACACCGATGACATTTATAATTATATTTATCTGTATCTTATACAAATAATCGGCAGTGTGTCTTCTGCGTTTGGAAGTGTTTGCTATGATACTTTTTATGTTACGATGCTAATGATCATCTGTGCGCAATTTCAACACATCAATATAATATTGACAAGAATCAATTTTGATAAGTATGATCAATCTTTGTATTAATCAGTGCTTTATAAAACTCTCTTCGATGGAATATATTATTGTACTTGCAGCGTGCCAGAAGCAACATTTATTCTCGAAAGAAAATTAAAGAATTGCGTGGATTGCCATGCAGAGATTATAAAGTAATATTTTTATTAAATAATGTATTAAATAATAGTGAAATTATAATGTATATTGCGTTATATCTATCTCATGAATCTATCGAGATATTTTCATCAAAATTCATTACATAATTTGAATTTTTCTAATCAGATCTCTAATGTCAATATATCAAATTTTGATGTAATTTTTCTTTTGTAAGAAAAGAAATATTATATTTATTTATATTATATTTAAAAGAGATAAATTTTTTAGATTTTTAAAAACATTGCAAACTTTTTGCGGTCCGGCAATGTTCGTGCAATGTGTCGTTACATCAATTATTATTTGTTTAGTCTCATTCGAAGCATCAACGATTAAAATTGCGGTATAAATTATTTTACACAAAGTGTTCAATGATATGTGTATTAAAAAAAAATATTTTGTACATTAATTTTTAGAAAGACTTAAATTATTTTTGCATCTCGACAGATGGATACGGAGTCCATCTTCAAATTATGGGCTCTGCTCGAATATTTTTTATGTGCCAATATTCAATTATATTTCTTCTGTTTCTTAGCCACTCAACTTCAATATTTGGTTTGTTTTGTGCTAAATTTTTAAAATCTTTATCTATTGTATTCTTAGGAATTTTTAAATTAAGACAATACAGAAATTTTATTGACTAATTCGCTAAACATGTTATATTAATTTATATTTTAGGTTTTGTATCATTTCAGGGTTTGCAAATTGCGCATTCAGTATATTGCTGCGGATGGGAACTCATGATTTTTCAGGAGAAAAGAAATCAATCGAAAAACAATTTTGAAAAACAATTAAAACATTACAATATTAATCGACTAGTGCAAATGATTATGGTGCAAGCACAGAAACCGATTGTTTTAACCGGTGGTCCATTTTATATACTTTCGTTGGAAACTTTCAGAGTTGTAAGCAATATATTACACACGGGGAATTTAGACGTTCATCTGCAAACATTATTATATTTTATCCTTAAACATCAATATGGAATTATATTACAGATAATTAGTTTGGCAATGTCAAATTCTATAATGTTGCGTACAATCTCTGATACGATGTCAGATGAATGATAAAATCGATAGACATTTATGTATATATTTTCTTTAACGTAAGAGCTTATTTAACTGAATATACTATAATAATCTGATGATGAAGAAAATATGTGTATATGGTAATTGATAATAAATTGAATTAAAAATTGAAAGAATAAATTTAAGTCATATCTTGCAATACTACAATTAGCCAAAAAAAATCTTATGCAAAAGGTAAGGCAATTTTTCCACAAAATAATTTTTTGTTTATAAAAATTGAAACAGATCAGATGCGTGTAAAGTAAATCTATAATCGAATTATTATTAGTCATTAGTATACCAGATAAAAATACCGACCATAAAAACTTATATGTATGTGTTTGTTTTTTTTAATGGGACGACTATCTCTTATATCGTAGCATTAGCATTTCTAAATCTCTTTCTTGCGCTCATTGTAAGCACTCTTCATGCTTTCATATCTCATCGAGATGTAGAACGAGCGGAAAAAGAAGGAGGAAGAATATAGGTAGCTAGTGTGGGAGAGCTTGTCGATAGAGTGGGGACAAAGAGAGAGGATGCTATCCACCTACAACCGTATAAGAAGCCCGCGCTTCTACCAGGAGAGCATGAATAACACGAACGTCGCGGCTTACTAACTCATTCGCATGTTATCTTATCACGGATGCTACGTGTCCCAACGAGGCAGCTTCGATTTCGCGAGTGGACTCGTCGCGACAGCGCACCTCTTGCTGCGTCGTGCGTGCCTGGCATATGAAAGTTGAGATTAGAATGCACGTGGTCACTCTTCTGGAATCTCGGTCGTCCTATACTGACGAAGACGAGATGATCGACTAGTAGTTTCTCTCGCTGATACACGGCCGAGAATGATGCGGCTCCCCGAGGTCAGACTTTGCTCACCGTTCTTTATATGCATCTCGCCACAGTTGTTGATACTCAACATCGAGATTTTTTATTTCACACATATCGATATCTGTCGAATCAATACAAATGCGCAGATACATATGTATTTGTATATTTTATTATCTCTGAAAATTATTAATAATAAAGATGTGTGTTTGTGTGTGTGTGTGTGTGTGTGTGTGTGTGTGTGTGTGTACCGCACACATACGTATATAAATCAGAATGGGTTCTTGGAAATACTAGGAACAATCTTTGATTATCGAAGAAAACAGTCAATTAATTTACTCGCACATGTGTTTTATGCAAGTAAATTTAATATTATATTTATATTTAATAATAATAATTGTATGTTATTATTGCATATACCAAAGTCCGAGGCTTCGTACAATATATTTCGTGACTAGGTTCCGGCTAGGTTTTTCATTCTTAGCCTGGCATGATCCCCTGATCGTACATCCGCGAGTCGCGAAGTCCTTGCGGCGACATTATGTGTCGTTCCGCGATCGGTGATGCCGTCGAAGGTGGTATTGAAAAAGGTGGGAGTTGGTCTTTCGTCGCGCGATTACGTCTCGATGCACACGTACGTATCGTTAACACTCGCCAAGACTCCTCACCTGCCCATCAAAAGACGTAAAGTCATCCACATTGGCCAACCATCGAGCCGGGATGCACGTGATCGAGGAGGTAGTCGCTCAACGTGCCGCAATCTCGAGCGGGACGAACGCTTGGTGATCACATGACCCGGACCCCGCTCGAGGGAGACCAGCCTTGCCAGCCGGCACTACCGCGCTCGCATGTTCTCTTCGTCGTTACTTGGCGAAATGTGGACGCCTTTCGGGAACTGTTTTTCTTGGCACCCTGAAGTGTACCCCGGATGAAACCGATTGTCCCGTAAGAGCGTCGTGGAACCTTGACGAAACTTACAACATATAGTACACGAGACCTCGTTCCAGCACTCGTTGATAAAGTCCATACCTGTAAGAGTGCCTCACGCATCGCAGATTCAAGCTTCCCAACTGAAGTTAACAATGCTAAAGTATATTTTTCAAAAATTATAAAGAAATTTGTATTTTTTTATAAATGATAACATATTGTGTTAATGATGATTCTTCAAAACTGAATATCTACCTCCTTTTATTTTTACAACTTTTAATTTCAGTGATGAATATTTTTCACAGAGATGATTCTTTGAATCGATAAAATGTGTTTAACTTTGATTAAAATTTAAAAAAGCACTAAAATAATATATAGTATATACTTTCTCTATGTCTATATAACATTTTGAATATGTAAGAACACTTTGAATATTTAAAATTAGATGAATAAATACATGTTACTTTTTAATCTTCTTCATCACTGATTATTATGCGAGATAATTTAGGTCGCTCAGATGGCACATTAGACAACGATTCTTCGTCATCGCTAATTATTACGTGAAAATCATTTGTCTTGTTTGCATCGTCATCTTTTAACGATTCTACTTCCTCGTCGCTATCAAGTAATCGGCGTTTCTTATTAGATGGTTTATCTATATCGGAAGAATCGGATCTATCCCTCTTTGTATCATCTGTAAAATGAAAATTTATATTAACATTATTCTATAAAAAGGTCGGAGATCGATCAATTATCTTTTATCAGCATATGCTACTGACCGTTTTTACCATCAATGTTCCTTTGAATTTCTATTTCCGAGTCAGAGGAATCATTAAACATTCTTATGCGATTTCTCGTATTGCCTATGCCATCTGAAATTTTACATCATTGCACATGTTACCAAATTATTGTTTGAAAATTAAACTTAATAAATGACAAAAATACATTTGTCGGTAAATTCATGAAAGAGGAATATCAGTCTATTGGTTTGAATAACAGAGGGCGAGAAAATGTATTCTATTCTTCATTTCGTACATAGCAAAGCTTAATTAATTGATAATGACATACCTTCATTAATTTTTTCTACTACTTCTACTGCTTCATCGCTTTCTTCATTTAAATGCGATAGTGTTCTAGATTCCTGTGATAACTGAGTGTGCGGTTCCGATTGTTTGGAAGTTGATGGCTCCGAAACTAATTGAATGGTTTCTGAAAATAATTGGACAGATTTACAAACTTTATATATATCATATGTGGGGAGAATTGAGAATCGTATCATATCTTTTAATACTTTAATCTTTAAATAATCTGATAAACCTTATTTAAAAAATTATTTTAAAAATCTTGGAATTTAAGAAAGTAATTCGTAAACTTTAATTTCCATAAAAACTAATCACTTATAAATATTATAATCTTATAGATGAAAGCTCCTTATATTTTGAAAACATTTTTCATAATAATAGACAAAGTTATGCTAACGTTAATATAATTCCTTTCAATATACTTTTAGTTCGACAAAATTATTACATTATAAAAATGCATAGTTTTACTAACCTGTGGGTACAAAGAATTTTTTAACATTCTCAAATACGTCGACATCGTCTCCACTGTCGTCCATCTTTTCGTCAGTGTCAGAATGATCTTTATGCGATTCTGGTCGCGTTTCTACAAAACGTTTCGATAAATGATTCTCACTTGAAAGTTTCTTATCCAGTGTATATGTATGTACGTGTATATATATGTGTGTGTGTGTGTGTGTGTGTGTGTGTGTGTGTGTGTGGTGTGTGTGTGTGTGTGTGGTGTGTGTGTGTGTGTGTGTGTGTTGGACATTGCCAAAATTCACTTACCCTCGGCGACAAATTTGCCGGCTAAAGCGTCTTCGATCAATTTGTAGCGCTTCTGAATCGTGATTGTAAGCATATTCGCCGGAATACGCCAATAAGATTCCTGGGCATCAGCCGGTGGCATAAATCCCAGGCCACGGAGAAGCTTTTGAAAACTCGGTGAATCCATCGCGGTCGACGAGTAATCTGTCAGCGGCACCAAGGGTATGCCCTCGGAGCTTTCCTCGTCACGATCGTCCAGAATGTCTTGCAGAGATTCCTTGATCCATTCCAACGCCTCTCTCATGTCTGATTTATCGAGATTTTTTTTCAACAAATTTTCCACATTAGTCTCTTTTCGTTAATAATTTAATTCGCTAATAAGGATTAATCACGTTAGTTTTTACATTACTTTAAAGATGTTCGTTTGTAAAGATATACTTGTGTTGGATCTTATAAATATTGCGAATTGCTGCATTTTATGTGGCGAAAATGAATTAAACTGATAAGCTTGGAAGAAAAGAATCTTATAAATATTGCGAATTGCTGGATCTTATAAATATTGCGAATTGCTGCAATTTATGTGGCGAAAATGAATTAAACTGATAAGCTTGGAAGAAAAGAATCGCTTTCTTAAAATTTGCGGAGCGTGATTCGCATCCGACCATAGACATGTATCCCACAAAGTGACCTGAGAAGTCACTTTTTTGACAAGTCATCATTTTTTCCCTCCCGTAATGGTTTCTGCAAATCATCGCCTTCGTCCCTTTTTTCCAGAGAAACATTTATCCTGCGTGAAGGAAACGAGGGTCGCAGGCCATTCTAGCGACAAGTGCGCTTTCATTAATCACAAAAACGCGGATGCACGTCGAGGGAGAGAAGAAAAAAAACACGAGAGGGCAGCGATACTCACCCTTGTCGATGACGTCCTTCAAGAGACCGGATAATTGTGCATCCGTGTAAACGATCGTCGGTAGCTTCCGCCTGTTCCGTTGCTTCTTTTTCGTCGACTCCTCGCTCCGACGAAGCGCGCCGCCGCGCTTCGAGGATTTTCGAGTTTCTTCGTCGTCTTCGTCGTCGGTGGCTGAACTTTCGTTCCCATCAGAATTACTGGCAGCTTGCGTTTCCCACGACGATTTACCTTTGCGCACAATGCATGGAAACGATGTGAACCTTTCTCGAGCGAGTGTTCATCAGCGTATGTAAAGTACACTGCGTAGTATCGCGTATGTGTGTGTATGTATGCAGAAGACATTTCATGTAACATCGGGTAAATCTCGAGCGTGATAAATATTAAAGTATACGTATAAAATCCATAATACTCTGAATGACAAATTTCTTTTCTTTCGTTCTCGCGCTGAAAGTCTCAGACGTAATCTCGCGTGCGCTCTAAATTTACATCTGCCTTGAATCTTTATCCACACATCGTACACAACTTTTTAAAACACGTTACATTCTAATAAATAGATTAGATACGATAGATCCGTTTCAGAATATCTTGGGTAAATATTAATTGCATATACGCTATGTGTCACCGAAAACTAGAAAAACAATAGGATAACTCTATATGGATAGCGAAATTGCATCAAAACATGATGTTGAAGGAAAATATTATTTCAAAGGCACATAAGGTGAACCGAAACTTCTCAGCAATGCTTCATCTCACAGCTATATATCTATGATATGAGTTATCTCAATGCATTGAATACAAATAAGGCATGAGAGAGGAAAACAATATCCATGATAAATATGAAATTCCTTCCGGCGCCATAATAAGAAGCTAAAGCGACTGATATTGGTCCAAGAGCGGCGAAAGTGCGTCTGGAATTCGCAGTTGCCGAATATTAAATAACAAGATTGCGATATTCCATGATGATATCATTACGGACTTTGAATATTCAAATATGTTGGAAAAAGAACATATACGAGCGTAAATATTATTTCAAATAACTGAAAAATTGGATGATACAAATTTGCTGAAAAGATTAATGACATTTCGCATTCAAATAAAAAAATGTAAAGATATTAGATATGTAGATTTTTACATTTTGCATTAAAAAAAAATAATTATATGTAACATTAAATATTTACTATAATTTTTATTTTATTTCTCATAATTATTTTTCACTTTGTAATCGTAATAAAAAAGCTGTGCATTGAATTTTGAACAATTGATATAAAGAATTAATTCAACAATTTGTTAATATTAATTTTAAAATATTAAATCGCTCTACATAAATCGTGTTATTGTTTCAGTCGAAAGTTTATGCGAATATTTAAAAAAAATTATTATAAATGCATTTATTATTATTTATTTTTATTTTTCATGAAATGATTATTTTTCATGAAATTACAAATAATTATATATATAACTGTATCGAACTACCAATATATCTATATATATATCGATACAGTTAAACCACTAGAATAATATCTGATTCAAAGCGCGATTCTATATAATTTCTACAATGCAAATTATTGCACAACATTATATAAACTAGGGAAAGAGAAGAGGAGAATTTAATAATATAATAATATAATAATATTTAAATAATTTGATAAAAATACACACAAATATGCATATACCGCGATTTTTTAAATAACCCAATATCTGTGTCATATATGTGAATTGAAAATTCATGAAAATTATAACTTTATACATACGCATTCCTTTTGTTCACTGTTGAAATATTTTCTCATAAAATCGATATTTTCGTGGAAATATTAATTAAATATGTCACTCGTTCTACCTGTGCAGCTTGACGATAGTATTTCGTTCTCTTCATAATATTGAAATCAAAGACCGGAATAATTCGCGTAGAGACTCAAGAACATTTCACAGAACCGCGTTTGCTTCGCTCTTGAGGAATAACGAAGAGAAACAGAAACGATATCGCAAACATACGAGCGAACTTGTCTCGGTTGGTGATATCGACGAAAGGTTTTTTTTTCTTCACGGTCCGTAAGAAATCGGGATAGGAGAGCGAGAAGAATCCTGTACAAATTGATCTTTGCTCCTTCTCACTTTTTCGCTCTTTTTCGCGCTTTCTTTCTCTACGTCGTCGTTTCGCTCTCCCCGTTGAAAGCGAGCCGCTCTATGCAGTCGCCGGCAATCGCGTTACTAGAAGACTGATCGAATGGGAATAGTCGCGGAATCGGAGGATAGTAAGAAAGACAGATGCGAATGGAATGGGATGGGATTGGCCGGAACAAGGGATATGCTCCAGACTGGATTGTGATGAGGGAGGAAGAACGAATAGCTATACTCACCTTGGTTGCTTTTTCTGGCCCGTTTTTTGCGCAGCTCCTTGCGATCCTGCGCCAATCCTAATTCCAAAAGCTTTTCCTTGATCTTCGACTTCGGCCGCTTTATTCTAAGACCGGTGAAAATCAAATCCACGGGATCTATCGGAAACATAAGTGTAGTTTCGATTTTTATAGCGTCGTCAAGAAACGATATGACATGGATGATAGGAAGACTTTGTGAGAGAATCATCATGGATGATAGGAAGAAAAGATCGAGATGATTGTTAGAGATTTCAAAGAGATTTAAAGTTGAAATCAATTAAAGCTTACAAAGAGAAACGCAAGCGTTCTCTTTATTCCACGAAATGTATTTATACGTCAAGTGGATGTCGATCTTTACGGACTTTTGACTCATGGATAATTTAATTTTTTCGAAAGATTATAATATAATTTTACATTTAAATGTAATTTTCTTATTATATGAACTGCTCGTGATTCGATTTATATTATGTGACATAAATTTAATTTTATAAAAAATTGTACATGACATCTTTGCGAATGTTTTCCGTTTGTTGGTTGGGAATTCTAGAGTTAACAACTGCGGAGTGAAAATACGATAGAATAAAACACTTTGCGGAGATTTTTGAAAGAAACGTGAAGAAAAATGCCCTTGACATTTCGCGGACATCTGAGAATTACGCCTGGCGTAGAAGCGACTTCGAAGATTAAAAGTTATGGAGAGCGGCGGATTCGTATGAAAATGAAACAAGTTTTACAAGACTTCTCTGAAAATGTCTCTGTCAGGAAGGATATTATTCTTCGTTCGTCCCAGAGGATTCGAAATTATTACTACAAGCAGCCAAGCGTGTCCGATGTTCGGAGCTTAATTAAATCCTAGGAATCGTTCCGGTGTTAACGAATTCTCGCACGAATTTCGCATTCACGAAATAATTCAACACTTTCGGAACGCGAATAACCGGTTAGAATTAACGCGAAAATTTATGGCAAATTTCTATCGAACAAATTTCTATCGAGAATTGGGTTAAGGCCATTTTCAGTGCATATATAATATTCGTAGATAAATTGCAAATTACGATAAATGACAGTTACTACAATATATCGCCAGATTTTCGTGAAAAATTTATATTATATTAAATTATAAACTTTGCTCTTTACTTCACATTTTCATGATTAATAATCACAATTAATTATGAATGTGATAGTTTAATCGAGTTATAAATTAACTCAGAAATGCGCTAAATAAATGAATAATGGAAATATGTTAGTCAATATCGATTAATCAGATTTATACTTTAAGAAAGTGAAAAATTTAAAAAGGAAAAATTATAAAAAACATATCAATGAGAAAGTAACTTAAAGAAAATAAATTTTAAAAATTACCGTCATCGTCCTTGAACTGTGTCCAAAGTTCCGTAAGCTGGGTAATTTCTTCCTCGGACCATTCCTTAGGCAACCTCTTTTGTACCTCAGCTCGCACGTTCTAATTAATTACAAGATTTAAGATAACAAATCAAGCCGTGTGCGTAATGAAAAAAAAAATTAAAAATATTTTTAAAATCTCTAAAAATACTTATATATAAGTCGCAATATTAAATATTATTATAATCATTGCCTAATATCTTTAAGATATTAATCACATTTACATATAAGCAAATTACATGAATACAAAATGTAATAACATTATACTTTGCAACTTTCAATAGTGGTTCGGAGATTGAATAATCGAATAATTATAATAGAATATCGATATTTGAAAAGAATATAAATATATCTTTCTAAATATATTTTTTTTTTTTTTTTTTTTTGTAATTCGATTTGATAAGCATATATACTTGAATAGCTGTAATCGAGTCGAGAGATGCAATCCATTATAACAGAACAGTTTCTAAGTCAGTAGGCGTATTTAAAAAGGAAAAGCCGGGATCGCTCGTTTTCCAGCGATTACGTTCCACCCTCGACAGAACGAGGTTTCTGCGAGCATCCCTAAATGGCCGTCGGAGCAATATCGTACGACTTCCATGAACTAAATGAACGTCAAATGAATACTCGGCCTTGTAGTCTCTGATTCGGCCCGATTTTCCCTCTCTTTCTCTCTTTTTTCTCTCTCTTCTTCCATGCTCGAAGAGACGAAATGTACTCACGCATGAAATTATTTAAATGAAACGTTTCCGCGGCTAAGCCTTTCCCCCGGAAGACCTTACCAAGAAATCGATAATACGTTGGAGGAAACATTTCCGCTGACGTAGCAACCCTCGTCAATGATTGCATGCTTATGATTAATAGCAAATTAAAGGCGGAAGAGAAACGAATCTTTCTTTCTTCTCTCCAAGATCGTTAACATCAAGAGTCATTATAAAAAAATTTATTATATTTCTCGCGCACTTTATTCTCATTAAACAAAAAAATTACTCATGTCAGATGTATTTTAGGAAAATAAAAGTTTAGAAATTTTAAACGAAAAATGTGTGCGATTTTAAGAATAAAAATTGTAAATGACCAATCAGCATTTTGTTTTAAAATAATTATTAAAAAAAGTGCTGGCAAAAAATTGCTGACATTCTTCCGAGCGAATGAAATTTTTTGCTGAATCTCTTATACATCGCGCTTCATATCTATAAAAAGCACAGGAGAGTAAGATCCGGTATTGTGTATTGCATCGCTTATTCTCCGCTACGTGCTTTTTTCCCTTGTTAGAAGCTTCTCTACAAACTCAATTAATTTCAAGTTTTAAATAAGCCGGTAACTAGTTAGTAACTCCTCTGCCGCAATAAGAAGCTTGATTAACGCATTCCCATGCTTTATCACCGTATTGCACCGTGTATTTTCAGAAGAAAAGAGTTATAATGAAGAAAAAAAGAAACGCGCTTCCAAGCTTAGCGGGATTAATATATATACATCTCGGAAAATATTCTTTAGAAAATATTAATAATGTCAGAAAAAAAATAATGCACTTTTGGTTTCGAAATTAATTAAATACGAAATATTAATAATATACATTAAGAGGATTACAAATAAAGCGTATATTATATTATAATCGCATTGTGTTGAAAAGTTACCTACATATAACATACACAGTTACCCACATGTAACATATACAGTCATACTTCGACAAACTCGTCGAAGCAGTTGGGTCACGTTTCCTTTGCGTTTTCGTGCCCCGAAGGGTGATGCAAATGTTTATACGTATGTCGTAAGGCAGAAAGCAAACAAAACGATAGCTTTTCTCGAGGAGGCGCCAGTTTTAGGGCCGCGACTTGACGAGGGGACGCACAGATATTTCCATGCTCGGAGAAAGAAACTACCAGTTGGTGGAAAGAACACGCAGCTCACGTCGGGAGCCTCACGCAAACGCTTGGTAGAAATCGTGGAAGTAAGAGAAACGAAGAAATGAGGGTGGAAAGCCTCGCCCCGTAGGTATTGTCTCCGGAGAATTTACAGTTCCTGTAGCAATTCCCGGCTCCATTTTTTGCATATGTTCGTCCCGTCAGGCAGTCTAGAAACTTATTTTCGAGGCCGGGCGAACAACCCCTCTTCCCTCTCCCTTTCTTTCAAGCTTCTCGTAAATCATTGATCTTGTCAGACGGAGCGCGACTAGGATTGCCGTGGGGGCATATGAAAGGACCGAGTACATTTTTGATGGGAAAAATCTCTTCAAAATCTTTTTAAACTATTTTCTTACTCTTGCGAAAAAATAATTAGCTTAAAATAAATAAATTATAATTGATATGAAATTCAAGAGAGAGAGAAAGAGATTGTTTGCTCATTTTGATATTCTTAAAAAAATCGTGCCTTTAGAAAAAAATATAACTAACCTTGGAATTGACAATCAAACTCATTTCTTTGAGTTTTTTAATGATGGTACGTCGCGTTCTATTTTCGTTGATGATGTGCTCCAAAAGCCAATCTATCAGGTCTATAAATTTACGATATTATAATTATTGTAATATATAAATAATTCAATTTGCTTTATAGTTTTTTCTTTGGACTAAATATTTAAAGATAAGTAATATATTTCTGGTCATTCAAGCAATAATAATAAAATATCAAAATATCAAAGATAAAATTACATTAAGCTATACGCATTTATATTTCTTATAAATGTTTTACGTTAAGAAAATGTTCGTTCCAAATGTTTCTTCATATTATAGGAAAAGTTAATTTATTCAACGACGTAGGCACAAAATTCTTTCACGAAAAATATGTGGTATAGAGAGTTTACCTTGAGGGTATTTGTTAGTCTGATGCTCCATGAAGAGGGTACGCAGTTCGTCCTCTTCCGCCTCCGTCCAGACTGCTCGTGAAACTTTCTTGCTACTCGTTTCCGCGTTGTAGCCATCCACGATTTCTGTCGCGTCACGGGTGGTCTTCCAGAAGAGCAGCTCCATGTACGACTTCCGATTCTTCTCGGCGACTTCGATGAAACGGCGGATTATGAAAACCGCGAACTTTTGGAGCTCCTGAAGCAAGAATCGATTTTTCGCTGTTCGACAAGTCCACTTCCGTGTGGGTCATTAAGCTCGATACAAGGATGAAATAAAAACCTCGGTGGTGGAATTTATCGCGCGGCATAAGAAAGGGGAGTTTTATCGTTGAGAAACACAGTGAAAGTCTTATCTATGCTTTCATTATGTGCAAAGAATGATGATAAAGTGTTATGTTAAGGAAAAAAAATTTATACATTCGACTAGACAATAATTAGATGCCATCAAAATTGTATAACGTTATTAATAATATTCACACTATTAGAAAATATAAAAATATTATAGTTTACGCGATTTATTTTGTGTATCTTATTACCTTGTATCCAGGATCCTTTGATTCAAGGAGTCTTTGAAAGATCCGAAATATAGACGCTTGGAATATCATGGCCGGCATTTTACAATTCCAAGCAATTCGATGTAGCATTTTTATTACATAGTGATTTACCTCGACCGTATTGTTCTCGAATTGCTGCAGTAGCAGTGTTAAAGCTTTAACAACCTTTACGTTGGCGAACCTTTGAATGGGATATTACGTTTTTTTAATAAATACATATTGCATTACTTTATCGTATTGATATTATATACGATATTTTATCGTGTATTTTATATTTTTGAATTGAAACTTTTGTTTTAACTGATAGCGGCAAGTTGCTACAAAGTATATAAACATTTTATCTTTTGTTGAAACACAAAGAGAAAAAAGAATAAGACTTTAAAGAATGAATTTTAACAAAATTTTGCTCCGGGGTTTAATTATAAAATTAAATAATATTTTTTTAAAAATTGCTAAAAATATGGTCTAATAATTTTTGTAGATAAATTGATAAATCGATATATCTGAAATATTTTGTCTTGTCTATACCTTTGAAGAAATTCGTCCAATTTAAAATCAGTCTCGTGAACAGTTTCTATTTCTTCTTCTTCATTCTCTTCTTCGTCTATTAAAAAGATTATTTATGTATATACATATATTATTGATTAAATGTAAAAAGCTTTAAATCAAGAAATTTGATATTTATTTACCTGTTTCATTTGCAGAATTTTCAATATTTTCATTCTCATTTATTTCTTCAACAGGCTGGTCTTCTACTACTAAAAACATATATAAACATATAAAAAAATAAAATAAACTTGAAACAGTTAATCCACACAAGATTTACATAAAACATTAACTATTGATTTAAACCAAAAAATGTTAAATTAAATTAAAAATAATTAGTTCAGAAGTTTAAAAATAATTATTTTTAGTTTTCGAATTAAACTTGATAATTTAATAATTTAATTATTTCTCTCGATTTAAATATATTTCTATTATAAATTTTTGAGATAATAACGATCTCAATATATAGATCATAATACATAAATACCCCTAAAGGGATTGATGATACGTTTTAAATCATCCCGAAAAGTTTTCTTTGAGCGAGTTGTTGCTTCAACTAAAGAAAGCTTTCCACCGTTCAAAGAATTCAGTTTGCCCAAGTGACGGTGACGGTGGTGCTATTTCAGTTTAAAGTTTTAATTGTCTCTTCTCCGCGGTCTGCTCAACTCGAAACAGTAATTCGAGATAAAATAAAGCGCTCGTCTGACTCGCGGTGTTTTTATCTCGGATTTTTAAATGCTTCATCCCCGTTGATGTATTAAAAGTGTTAACCGGAACTTTTGCTTTCTCAGCATGGAGTACGATTCCGAGTATTTTCGTAGATTTCTTAAGAAACTTTTCTTCCATTCTTAGAGAAATTTTTCTCCAAGTTCCTGGATAGAGTTATACAGGATGACTTGCAATGAGATAAAAATTTTTTATTTTAAGAATATTGAACGAGATTTATGCGCTTTTAAATTTAAGATTTTTTTTTTTTTATTACAAAATGATCCTTTGTTTCCTTTCTTGCATAGATTTAAAAATTTCAAAAATAAATAAAGTCCGCTTACGAGCCTAACGGAAACTAGGAACTGCATAAAAATGCATCGTTCGCTTTTTGCATCGTTTTGTGAAGAAGGGAAAGTAATCTCCATATTTATGCATCCTTAGCGTAATCTAGTTCAACAGAGAAGGCAGATAATTCATTCTGTGATTATAGATCTCCAAATATATGCAAAAGATTGTGTATTTAATGGCAGAGAGTTATCGGTTCGAGAAGAGCCAACGCGAAAAGTTGCGTAGATATTTGCGATAGCTCGTTGCGTTCAACTATCGATCGTCTCTCCGCAATTTCTCAGCGATACGTTCCCACGCACAATGTATTCTGCGAGAATGCATATTGTGTATGTAAATACGTATGTGTATATATAAGCACTCGAATGCATGTGCAAAAGAGATCGACAACACGTGGTACGGTCGCACGAGCTTATTAAGCAGCTAATACTCACGTTTCAATACTCTTCAAGCATGTAATTTGCATATTTCGTAATTAATTACATATTTATATGATATACGCGAAAAATAAGAAAGGTTACACTTCAGATTTTTAAAAATACAGACATATAATAATAATTATTATTATTATATTCTATAACATGGTTAAATTTTGCAGTCATATCTCCTGCAATCGATTTTTTACTCTCTAAATTCGTTTTTAGCCCGTAACGAAAGATAGAAAGTTACATGTTAGAGCTAAACTATTCTGCGCATTTGTACAAAGTTTTTTCGAATTTACAGGCTGCCGAACTTTCCTCGTTAGTCATTCTGTCATCAATCTTTTACGTCGTTTTTATCGCGTTGAAATAGATACCTTACAATGATTGATATTATATTACACACGTGTTATAAAATAATAAGTCTATAATATAAAATAATATATAAAATATATATAAAAAATATATATAATAATATATAAAATAACAAGTACCATATAAATAAGTTAATTGAAGTGAAATCTTGATTTAAAAATTTAGATTTCTAATTACAAGGTTTTTCTATGAATAAAAAATGTGAAACATTGCATACACATTATTTGTCATTTATTTTAAAGCAAAGTTTAAAATGAATAAATTGCTTACAACTTGAGTTTCAGCGTAAACCTCTTTCAACTATTCAAGTGTATAATTCAATATAGATTCATATTTCGAAAACAAGGAATATCGCTCGGACAAGCGATATCGTTATAATCGTAATTGTAATATTAATTTGATCGACAGCGCGTAACATCCGGATAACAATCTCTCGTTAAACTAGAGATTGCGATGCTCCTCCTTGCCATTAAATTAGACATTATCGTGGGTGCAAAGACGAGGGACGCATTATGCGATTGTATTACCTGGATAATAAGTGTTGTCTAACGCGTACATAGAGTAGCTAGGTAAATGGGGTTGCAGGTGGTATATCAGAAGTTGGGCGGTTGAAAATAATAGAGACAGAGGACGCGGGGAAACAAGGGCGGAGGAAAGCATGGCGAAGGATAGGAGTGGATGGGTTTATCACGGCTGAGACCAAAAGCCCTGGTGCGCTACCTCGATGTAATTTGTGAAGAGATAATAACCGTCGTCCACGAGAACACTGCCGCGGTGTTTGTATACGTATTTGTATGTTGGAGAATTTTTTTATATTTATATTATGTATTGCATTTAAAAAAGGTAGTGTCTGATGGAATTAAGATCCGTATCCATGAGCAAATTTTGCCGAGGTCGCGAGGATTCGATGGTTACAAGTATTGTATACTACATCGAGAATTAAATGTTATTGAGCTAAAAAATTCTTCTCATTTTATTAATATCCTATTGAATATTATATTTTTGGAAAACAGATTTTTTGCTCACATTGAAAGCTATATTTGTAAACTATTTTTATGAGAGATTATAATTCAATGCTTGTAAGCGCTTTAATTTTAGGATGGTCGAAACCTGAATGCTAAAATTTAAGAGAGAAAAAGAAAAGATGAACAATCTTAGAAAGAAATCTTTGTGGCATTCTATAAATTTTTTTCTTGTAAATCTTCTTTACAGTATCATCGCTTTTGCATAATTTTCACAATTGCAAATACAAAGTGATCTCTTTTCTCTTCCGCGTTTATCAAAAGTATAATTTTTCTCATGAAAGATAGAAAGTTAGAAAATGGAAAATTAAAAGATAAAGTTTTCAACGATGGATGTAAAGCAACTTTCTGAATAGAAAAAGTTTAAAATTTAAAAGAAGTGTAAAGCAGTCTTGTAAACCATAGTTACTTGTAGTTTGATAAGACTCGTAACCCACTAAATGAATCAACCACGGAGAGTAACTTACTCCTGAAATCAAGAAAGAGCTATTCCAGTGTTTTACCAGTTCACGACAAATTCATTATTGCGAAGAAATTTCACGTCCATGGGATTTAGGACAGCGTGAATATCGCGGAAATTGTAACCTTGATAACCTGCGTCTCGTTTCTCTCTCGCACGGAAATTCACTGATATTTTTGAACGAAGGAACGTCCAGCACGTTCATTTTTCTGTAATTTCGAGAGAAGGAAAAAGGGAAGATGCTGACATTTCCTCTTATCCTACATTGCGTTCAATGCCTTGTTTCCTACTCGTCTTGGTTGGATCGGTGAAGTAGAAAAAATTGAGGCGATGCGACGACTGGAAAAAAGCACGCGAGCAAAAATCATGTTTAAAGAGAAAAGTATTTGTGAAATTAAACTGTTAATATTTTATTCATTAAACGTTGAAATAGAACGGTAATTGCTTCTTCAAGTATTCCGCAAAATAAAAACTTTAAGTGCATTTATCTCGAAAAACACGATTTTCACTCTTTCTCCAATAAACCGTTTCAAAACGTATCGTGCACAGAATACAGTTGGTCATCGTGATAGGGATTCCGTGATTAAATTAGTTAAATATAGAAAGCTGCAAAAGCTGTATGCAATATGATTGCACGAATAAAATATCGTTTCTCACGAATAAAAACCAGGTGGAAGATCAATCTAGTAGTTTTTATACGAATTGAGGTCATCTGTGCGGTGTACATTTCAAAGGTTATTTCGATATACGTGCTGAACAAGGAAAAAACTGACAATTGAAGAGGACGATGACCAGAATCAAAAGGGGGAAAAAACGGCTTTATATCCAACGGCCGCGTATATGAGACAGTTACGTGGAATCATCTCGTGGAGGGCGATCGACGTGTTTATGGCGATTTGATGTCGTAGACCTAAACTAAGTCCGCAAGCTGTGCGAGCAACTCGAGCAACCCGAGCAACCCGAGCAACCCTCCCGAGTTTGCCCCTTCTTTAACCAATCTGCTCGTAGCTCGACGACGTGTCTGGCCGAAATTTCGGTATTCAACGATCGTCACAGTCCGGTACTACTATTAGGCCGGTAACTACTTATTCAAACCGGATCGCTCGAAACGCCCCAGCTTTCTCGGCGGTTGTTGTTAACGCGATCACGTCCTCCTGGCCCCCTCGCCACAATCTCCTCTCCCCATCCTGACCCGACCTTTTTCTGTAACGATGCAAGCTCGAATCTCTCCTCTCTCTTCCCTTTTCCTTTCTTTCCTCTCCTCTTCTTCATCTTTTTCCATTCCGCTCGCTCACGTTGTTTAGATGCAGTTTTATTGTGCCCCCAGGGTTCGTTGCCGCAAAAGCGGTATGACATACGCCGAGCAATTCCTGGACCGGACGAATGGCGGATGAGATGGCAAACGTAGCTTTGGACTATGTATCTCTTGCGTATTTCGAGAGACCGATTTATCTCGCGGCGAGGAATAAAAGATGACGAGGAGGAAGGAGAAACTGAGAACTTGCCGACTTCATAGTCCACAGCATTAATATCTTATTATTTATTAAAATACTATGACATTTTTATAAATATTTTTCAATTATTATTTAAAATTAATAATAATTAAGAAAAATATTCGAGAAACACTTTAGACCTTGAATAAATTTTTAAAAATCACAATGCAATTTTATACGTAATTGAAACAAATTTTTTGTAAAATTTTCAAATTTAATACAATGTTAGATATGCAAATAAAATATTTTGTGAAGAAGAAAAACATCACGTAAGCAAATCAAGCAAAGAATATTACATTGTATAATGATAAACGTATGGATATAAAAATAAAAATGATATAGATTGAGAAATCAATTTCCTACGGCGTGTTTCCGTACGATAAATGATCA